AAGGTTCGGCTGAACTTACCCGGCATGGCGTCGTACACTCCGCATCTGCCATGGGTCTCGAAAGTCAAAGGCGACGAAGACAAAGTCGCAGCGGACGTCTTCACGTTCGTGGACGACCTCAGACCGTGTGGAGCTGACGCCAAGGAGTCATGGAACGCAGGCAGAAAAGCAGCAAGCACTATCAACTGGCTGGGCTGTCAAGATGCTCCTCGAAAGCGGCGAGACAGCAGGCCAGATCCAGGTGCTTGGGCAGGGTGTGTACTTCGGACCCTGAAAGGTGTTTTCACTCTGGTCAGCGATGAGAAATGGGAGAAACTCAAGTGGCATCTCTCGAACACGGAAGCGATGATCGTCGCCGACTCAGACCACTTGGAGAGCTCCAAACTGCAACGGGTGCGCGGATTTCTTAATTACGTTGCACAGACTTACAAGGCGCTGGTGCCATTTATCACAGGTTTCCATCTCACGATCGACGGATGGCGTCCCAATCGAGATCTGCGAGGTTGGAGGTTGACCTCCAAGTAAGCCCCAATCGCTGAGAAGGATTATCCAGCCGCTCCCAAGTTCGTCAAAGCCAAACCACGCTTAACCAGTGATGTAAAGTGCCTGATTGTCCTATGCAGCTCGCCCAAGCCGCCTCACCGCCGGGTGAGACCGCTGAGGACTGTGGTCGTGTTCTACGGCTTCGGCGATGCTTCGGGCTCTGCGTTCGCTGGAACCATCGCTCAGCAGGGTAGCCTCCAAGTGGACTTCGAGTTCGGCCAGTGGACTGAAAAGGACGTTGAAGAGACCTCCTCGAATTGGAAGGAGCTCACAAATTTGGTTGAGTTCATTGAAGAAAGGGCGAGAAGTGGGTCCATCCGTGACGCGGAGCTCTTCATGTTCACAGACAATTCCACGGCAGAGGCTGCCTACTGGAAGGGCTCCTCCAAGTCCCAACTGCTGCTGGATTTGGTGCTTCGCCTCAGGATGGTCGAGCTTCATTTCGGTCTACTCCTGCACGTTGTACACGTAAGCGGCAAGAGGATGATAGCCCAGGGCACTGATGGTTTGTCACGAGGCAGCCACGGTACAGGTGTCATGCGCGGCGTTGACATGATTAGTTTCGTGCCCCTACACCAGACATGCGTTGATCGCTCCCCTGCGTTTGGCAAATGGTTTTGGGATGTGGTCTCTGGAGCCAAGCCGACCTTGCTGACGCCGGAAAATTGGTTCGAGAACGTGCTGGGACACGGTGCCCATGTATGGTTCCCTCCTCCAGCTGCGGCGGACGTGGTGTCGGAGCGATTGCGAATTGCAAGGCACAAGAGACCCAACTCCTTGCATATTGTTGTGGTTCCCAGGTTGATGACGGGCAGGTGGAGGAAGCAGCTCGGCAAGGCCGCCGATGTTTACTTCAGGCTCGAACATGACGCTTGGTGGCCGATCAAGAGCCAATTCGAGCCCTTACTAATGTTCGTCTGCCTGCCATATCTTGTTCACAGGCCTCGCTTCGAGCCCAGACAGGGTTTGGTTGAGTGATTTGTCCGGGTGCTGCGCCGTGACAACTTGCCGCAAGCTGATGAGCAAGTTCAACGGGCTCTTCTGCGCAAACTTTTCGGCGAGGCGCGGGCCCTTTGCGCCTTGTAAGCGCTGTTGGTGTCCAGGTTGCTACAGGCCGGTTGGACAGCTCCCTTTCCCAATCAAGTATGTTGTTGATGACGACGGGAAACTGATTGCCAAGGATGGGGACAGCGAGCGCTTCTTACAGGCAAGAGCCGGCGATGGATTCATGATTGGTTTCCAATGCGACCTGTGCCATTTCCGCAACATCCAAGGGAGAGACCCGTGGCCTAACGACGAGCGAGACATGCTCCTGGTGGAGATGATCCGTCGGGCGAACTTGGACGCCTTCTGGTCTCGCGAGACCTCTACCGTTCGAGAGAACCTACGAGTGCTCAGGCGTGCTTATCTGACAAGGCAGAAGACAGGCATGGTCAATTTCCTGAAACCAATGGGCCCTTTTCCTCTCGACGACGTCATGGGTATGAGCGTGGCGGTGGCCGTCCTTGACAAGTCGCTGGACCCTGGAAGATACGAGGCAAACGTCCAATGGGCCACCATCAGGAAGATCAGGTCGGCAGTGACTAACTACTACCAGGCCACGGTACATGGTCTTGGGGACACCGTAGGCACCAACCTCAAGCACCAAACCTGGATCTCCAAGGCCCCGGTTCATTCCAAGTTCTTCCAGCGTTTCATGGCAGGGCTGCACAGACGTGTTGGTGAGGTAGTCAAGCGCGATGAACCAGTGACCATCCAGGTCCTCCACCAGGTACTCAAAATTTTGGAACAAGATTGGATTGACGAATGCAACAAGGGAGGTCAAGGAAACCCCCACAAGCTTGACACCACAGCGCTCCTCGGTGCTTGGTTCGTCATCGGCTTTTGCGCCGCTCTCAGGGGAGAAGAGGAAGTGATCATGGAATTGGCCGAGACGGTCAACTCTCTGAAGTTCCTCACCGAGCCCGACGACACCTGCCTGTCCATGGCTCCTCACTTCTACATCGCTCCGGTTGGGCCGGTGAAGAACCACAGGATTCTCGGTGACAAACTGGTCATCCCCATTGCTGGAACCACGGCGACAAAAATTCCGGTGGAGCAGTGGATCAGGAGGCATGCAGATAGAGTCAAGGGTTCCGGAAGGTCCACGGGGTTTCTTTTCCAGAGGGTGTTGGCCACCCCCAAAATGTTGGAGTTTGAGGATGATTTCCACGAGGTCCTTGAGAGGGTCCAGGCAGACAAGCCGTCGTTGATGCGGGATGGTCTTGTAGTTCGTGAGGAGTTTGGCATTGAGCGTTCCTTGAGAAGAGGCGCTGCCGCCCACGCCATCAATCAGAGCGTCCCAGAGCCCATCCGAGATGCCATCACGCGTTGGCGAGGAGAGTACAAGGCTGACCAGGCAGGCACTATCAAGTCCCAAGTGATGCCAGAGCTCTATGCGCGGTTGGACCTCATCGCGCCTACTGCATTGCGCTTCTCCATGGCATTGTAAAATGTGACGGTTGTGGGGTCGCCTGGCGCTCGGCGGGAAACGACATGCTAGTCACGAGTGCGGCACTAAAGCCACCTCTGGGGATCCAAGACAACATCAACTGGTTGAGATCCACAAATCAACAACAAGATGGATCGGCCTAGACAACAGAGAAGGAGGTTCCTACAAGCTGAGCTACAGCGGATCGTCAATGAACTCACGGCTCTTAATCTAGAAGACAACGACGATGAGGAAGAGCCGGAACCAGAATGGCCAAGGGGCACTAGAGTAAAGATTACCCGAAGAGATAGATATCGGGGACGGATTGGAACCATCAGAGGCCGGAGAACACCCACTTCAGAATATTGGGATATCGATCTCGATCCTCAAGGATCTTCCACCACTACTCAGCTCATCTATAAGAAGCCAAGCGGTTTCCGTCGCATCTCGCCCAACCGCGCTCAGGAGCAATAAACCTGCGGCGGTCCATACCAAGACGGTCTCTCTTCAAGGAGCTCCGTTGTTGTTGTTGGCGTTGGCGTTGCCATTGCCATTGCCATTGCCGTTGTTGGCGTTGGCGTTGCCATTGCCGTTCTGCCCAGCCGCGTTGGCCGGGGGCACCAAAGGAGGAATGGCGGCACGGCGGATTGCCGTGGCTTGGGTGCGGATGGGACCCAATCGTTCAGCAATTTCCTGCTCTCGCCACTTGTTGGCAGACTGCCACTCGGTGTCGGAATTGGCGGTAGAGCTACGCATCGCTGTGTTGTAGCGAGCGATTGCCTCGCGAGACACTTGAGCGCGGATGCGTCGAGCTTCACGACGAAAGAAGAATCGAGCCCGACGATGGTTCGACTCAGCCAATGCCAAGGTACGAGAGTTGGGGTTGAAATGGTCCACCATGGCACGTCCGATCCCGTTCAAGGTTCCGTCGGCGTTGAAGAAGGTCCGAGACTGGGCGGCGCGGCCCATCATGACCACAGGATTGGCATTTCCGGTGTTGTTGTCTGTCAGAAGAAACAAAGGAATCTACCCTAGTGAGACACCATCGAATTAAACGGCAGTCCCTTGTTGCCACTTACTCATGGTGCTGTTTCGCTCGGCGGTACACCTTTCGATAAAGGGGAATATTTGTTCCTCCTCTGTTTCTGGAAGAATTGTGATCCAAGTCACCGATCGCAACTCTAACACCAACCGGCCTTGCCACAGCTACATTCTGGTAGCTTTCCTACGTGACTCCACGCTACCGTCTATCGCTGGGCCAAGCCCAGCAGCCACCGTCACACACGATGAGAGTCGAAACGGTCCATTCCCATCAGCGAAGGGACCTGACCTTACCGTTGGGATCTTGCGTGATTCACACAAGCACTCCCACATGGGCGACAAATTTATTACCAGCCCCGTCCGCCGGAACTGCTTTTCAGCAGTCGAGGCGGGGCGACTGCTCCTTGCGCTCACTATGGATGACACTTCTTCGGAAGTCGAAAATAGTGAGAAACGCGGTGCAGGTGCGGTACCACTACCGCAATCTCCGGTTCACTCCGTGAAAGAACACAGTCCTTGGAATTCGATGTTGTCATCAAGGCACCGATGAGCAAGGATTTCCTGCGAATGATCATGGGGGGGGTAAGCACTGGTGTTGTGTTGGGGAAATGCCTTCACCAACAACACACTTCACCAGTGCTGGAATGTAAAAGGAAAAGGAGCACATCTAGCAGACAACTACTTGCAGCAGAATCCACATATGATCTCCAGAGAATGTATACAGGCATCCTGGCATTGAAAACAGTGTGAACCATGATCTGCACCAAGTTTGAAGTCTATTAGCATCACTACTCCAACCTTACAACCATTGGTTCCAGCTCCATGCTACCAACATGGCCTGGGTGCCTGAGATACATCCCCCCACTTACATGATTATAAGTTATATGTTACAAACCATTGTGTTCACTCTTTTGTACCACAGACTTGGAGGATATTGAGATGAAGGTATGCAGACAACCTGGACTGAACTGGTACCCTACTAGCTGATGTTAGGTTGACTGGTTTCTTAAAACTAAGTAGTAAATGAGGACTGTCCGCATTTGCGCTCTGGAGTAGCATGGTCCTTGTTAGATGTTCTCTTCTGAAATGGAATCAGTCAAGGCTATCTGTCGCTGTTGGATCTATTATTCAAGCCGGCCGGTCTGGCACGAAACTTGGAACAAAGGAGAAATTTACTCCCTCCTTCCCTCTCAAGCAAACAAACGTACGGTGCCGGTACGATAGATCTAGCTAGCTAGTTACCATAGATGCCACGCAAAGCTTCGCGGACACTGCTACGGTAGCACAGTACGCTGTACGGTACCAGGTACCGGTAGCTGAGGATGGCCGTAGCATGATGCCATCAAGGAATTTCTCTCTGATGGACCGATGAGGTATCGTGATGAGGGTACCGGTGCCCTCGGTGCTTGCAGTCGGCCAGAAAGGATGATTTTCAATCACTGCCCATCCAGATCCGCCTGCCAACACTACTGTGTTGGAAATATGGCATATGTCCTTCCTGATTCTGAATGTGTACTATACAATGTCATGGTTACAGCAGTAACTTTTATTCGCTCTCTCCAAACAACATCAGTACCCGTGCAGCAGGTGGGTGCTACAAGATGGTACCGGTACACCCGTCAATTACGACACCTTCTGAAAACTTCTTGCTTTCTCCTCATTTGGTACCCGTAGCCCCTCGTTATATCCTGACAATGTCCACTGATGCGAATCTATCTAAAGAAGTGGCGTCAAATGCTTTCCAAAGGGAGCTAATTGTGCCGGAGTTGCCCATGAGAACATGCCAGAACATTTGCCGTTGTTGTTGCTGCAGGAGAAGAACCATCTCCCAGAAGAGTGTTCTTTCTTTGAAACCCTCAACACAGTTCTGTGGGAACATCCATGGCACTTGGGAAAGTGCGTATCGGCCCAAGCAAAATAAGGACAGCTCTTGATCTTGCAGGTGCCAAACAAACGGCTCTTGTTTTCTTCCTTTGGGCTGTGACGAACCCGTTTAATGCAGAAATGACGAGGTCCATGCTGTGGACACGCATTCTGATTGCGTGACGCGTTTTGTTGTGGAACCGCAAGTTTGGGTTTCTTGGCGGTATTGTTTTTGGATCTGGAATTATCAAAGATTGCTGCCAATGGTCGTTTATTGTCGCTCGATGATGCTGCTGCAGTGCAGGTATCCGTTGTGGTTTTATTAGTGAAAGGCTGACAGGACATGCACCAAAACGTCACTCGGCTCAAATCTTGACCGAGCTTTACCATGCGGACGCTCCCTACGGTATGACAGGATCCACATGTGGTCTGATTATAGACCATTTTCGGGGGCGAACGTCCGGCTTGGAGCCAACCCAAGGCATACTGACGACACGTTTGCACCAGAGATTTCAATTCTGTATGGTGCAATTGTCGAACCAATCGTTTGGGGTGCACATTGGCCTTGTGAAGGCCTTCCATTTTGATGATATTGCCGACACCAGGGAACTTATTTTGATCCAGTAATGCGTCGCAAATCATGGCGTCAGGCCTTGATTGAAGAGCCGATATGACTTGTTGGGTTTGAAAGAGTTCATGGCTTGCACAACAATCCAAGTGAGCCAGACGATCTCTCTTGGAGCGAGCGACTCTTGCCGATACTTGGTTTGCAGTGGTGGAACGGCACTCTAGCATTATCCTGTCATCATTTTTGTCGGCGTCTGCCCTCTGAAATTGGATCTGGATAGAAGGCTCTTGCTGACGGTAGTATTGGTAACCACTGGAGTTGTTGTTGTTAAATCCACCATCTTTGGATAAGTGGAGACTCCCGTTCATTCCAAAATGCAACCTCCAAGCAGCCTCGTTGGAGAACACCAGAAACACCTCTTTTCCAACCGAGAAAGCTTCCGTCAGCGTATGACCCGTCCACAAAGGCTCCGGTTTTCCAAGTCGTACTGTTGCGACCACCTGGTATCCTACAGCAGGCTGCACCTTGCGGGCATTGCGGATTGCTCCCGGTCCTTCCACCATGGTCAATGGATGCTTCTCTCTTCTCTCCCTCGCTTGCGACGTTACAGTATCGGGCCATTTTGAATTTTGAGTACCGGTACGTGGTATCCACGAACCAACAGTATCTTAAAGATTCAACAGGAACAACGAGGAACAGAACTGTTTCCAACATTATTCCGGGAATGCCGCGACGCAATCAGCCATGCGCCTTGGCAACATGACCACAACTGAAGAATGAGACGAACAACCATTTATTTTGCTCCACCATGTACGGCTCGACCATGGCACAACCACAACCACAAGAGCCTGGAGAAAGTACTTCATTGGGAGCACCCTGCGTCGTTGTCGGCCAAGATGACAGCAATCCGCCCACAACTGCTTCCTCTCCGACGAAGATCTCCATGTCGTTCGACCAAGCTGATGAAAGTGCGGTTGCCGTTGGATCTTCCTTTCCACCACTCTTGCTTCCCCTTGTCCCAGAGAAAAGTCCCGTTGCGTGGACTGTCGTAAACAATAGTTTGGCCATATCTGGTTGCGTCTTGATTGTGGACATGGTCTACGCCAAGGGCCAACTAGACGAAAGACCCTTTGCGACGGCCTTCTATCTCATCTGGGAGTTTCTTACTTGCTTCTTTTGGACATTGGAGACTTCTCTGTCGGCAACCTATCAATACTACTACTTGGAGACGCAGCAACTTGCATGGTACACCAAATTGGAAATTGTCATTGCCGCCTATTTTACCGGTACCACCTTTTGGATGCTCTACCAGTGGAATGTTATGAACCAGCCAATCGAGAATGATAAAGTGGGGGAAATCATTTTGGATACTTCCTTTTATATCTACTTGGCTGCCAGAAGTTGTACCAGAGCGACATCAGCAGAAGAGGAACAGCAACAGCAGCAACAAACAGATGGCAGCCCCGATTGTGAATCGGCATCCTACCTAATAATGAGTAACGGCAACCACAACGACAACCCTGGTGGCACTTTTGCATAAGCTTCCGTGTGGGATCCATCTGATGAATTTTGGACAGGGAATTGTTTCAGTGGACGCTTAACATAGTATACTAGTTTATCGGAGCAACAACTTTGTTGGAGACCATGGATGAACCTAGCTAGCCACGCAAAAACAAAGCCTGAAAAGATTCTGTATCAGTCATTTACACAGCCGGCATAGCATTTTGTGTTGATTAAATTTGGTATGGATAGGTTTCAAGAACCGGTACCGGTAGCTCCTCCGTGACAAAATACTGCAACGCGTGTGGTGTAACTTTTTACCTTGGACAGGGGAGTTGTGGAATTGACCACAATGTCATTTGCCGCCGTTTCCTTGATTCGATTCATCACAAATGCGAGCCAAACTCCTCGGCCCATTCAATGCATCGCCCACATAGGCACGTGCCAGCATGGACAAACCCTCGGACTTGCAATTTTATCTACCCCAGGCCACACACAGAGAGAAGCTCCTGACCCCAAACCAGGTCGCAGAACTAACTACGCCTTCCCTTGGTCTATCTTGCCCTACTACTCTTGGTTATCTACAGGACTCATTTTCCGTTGGTCCATCTTATGGCTGGCTAGAACCACGCACAAGACGCCACTCATCGAGCAACTAGTTAACTGCTGTCTCCACTCAGCACAGGCATTGTTAATAAGCTTCTGGACAAACCCCTCCCGGTACCGGTGCCTGGAGGATCCTTGACTGACAACCCTATTCCAGAAGTTCGGCACCGTGCATGGCCACCTCCCAGGAAATCTCTCGCTGTCCCACGGATAAAAACGCGTGTTTGAACAAAGCATTAATGGTTAGTACCGGGTAGCCGCCCGTTTGAGAGGTTTGTTGGCGATCCATTCGCGTTTCCGTAGGGTTGCGTTCAATATTGTACTGTAAACTAGTTGATCAATCGAGATTTTCTTTGGCTTCCGCTCACAATTTACTGTAATTATTTGTTCCTGGCAAACGAGGATCCGAGAGAAACAACTTCTCCCAAAACAACACACATACATCAATCCTCTCATTCATCTTCTTCATCAAAGCATCTCCTCCAACAACAGACTCATAAAGACGTCTTTGAATAGTCTCATAGAGTAGAATAGGAAGCCGCCGCAACCATGACATCGTTGTTGAGAGGGAGTCTGCTGAAAAATGCCAAAGATCATAATATAGTAGTTGTTGAGGCTGTCAAAAAGCTCAAAAAACTCTCTTCGGATGAAGAAGACATTGATCCCAGTAGCAGAAGATCATTTGATAATGACAAGGATATTTCTCCAGATATTACTCCGGACTTGTCGCGGAGTGAGTCGGGAGATGAAGGCGAACACAACGTTGGTCTCCAGCGCGATCATGACATTGAACCCATTGAGATTGTCTACACCACCGATGAATCTGAGACAATTGAACCAGTCTCTGGAATTCATTTTGCCGGTGGTATGAATCAATACAAGTTCATTGGTTGCGGTGTACGTACAAAGTACTTGGTTTTCCATGCCTATGCTGTAGGGCTATACCTCGATATGGAATCTGTTGATATGGCAAAAATGAAGACATCGGATGATATTGATGACGTACTGCTCAACCCTCACTATGCGAGGGTCTTTCGTCTCGTCATGAACCGAAACGTCACGTCAAGTCAATACATGGGCGCTATCTACGACGCTTTGACTCCTCTGATGAGAGGACAAGACATGGACAAGTAAGTATTGGTTGTACGATGGGCTAGTCTCTGTTATTTGATTGCTAAACTGGGTGTGCTGTGCTAATGTGATGCTGTGTTTTGACAACCGACTTGATCCTTTGATTCGCCAATGGACCAACAAATCAGGTTGGAGGAGATGAAGACTCAGGAAATGCCTAGCATGCTCCACAAGGGGACTGAAATCTTTCTGATTGTGAACGGCAACAAACTAATCATGCAGTTGGGGATGGACCGTGCTGCACAAATCGAGTCTTTGGTACTGACGAGCGCCATCTGTGAGAACTATTTGGGTGGCAAACCAGTCAGTCCAGCTGCGAAGAAAGCCGTCGTGAAAGAAATGGAGAACCTCCGAACCTCCGAACCTCGAACCGAATAGTTTAAGTCTGTGGTGAAAGGAAGCCTCCAGACAACGCCCCGCATAGGCATCCTCGGGAGGGAGGCTTAGCTTTCCGCCTCTAGTAGCATTCCCACATCCCCTTATCTAGCTAGCTAGTAGAGCGAAGCAATGAATGATCCAAGCAATGCGAATGATAGAGAGAATAAAGACAGTTTCGCAGGACCGGTACGTTAGCTAGAGGCCAGAGAATGATTGAATCAAACTCGATGATAATTCCCATCTATCTTTGGAAAGCCATTGTTGTATCGTTGACCAATTGATGGAAGCAAACTGTTTTGGGGAATAGAAACCGGGGAATAGAAACCAACTTTCTCAGTACGGGTACTAGTACTGGTACCATGCGCCACTACCGGTAACACGTACTCAGTACGGTATGGCATGTTGGAGCTGCACCACTTTGGCGTGTTGGAGGCACTGGTACAGCCGTACCGGTACGGTACCTTGTACGGCTGTACTGCATACCAGAAACGACGGGCATCGTGTCCATGCGTCGCTTGCCGGCCGGTACGGTACCTTGTACGGCTGTACTGCATACCAGAAACGACGGGCATCGTGTCCATGCGTCGCTTATCGAAGTACTGTACGAGTACTCTAGCTAGTAAACCAACGAATGTTGTTTGCCTAGGTTACTCGGCATTTTGTCTATTTAAGGCTATTGTATCTGATTACAGAGTTGCCTAAATGTTCTATGCTCCTTTGTAAAAGTGGCTTATGTCTCACAATGTCTACGGATGTCTCACAATGTCTACAAATGTCTCACAATGTCTCCAGATGTCTCACAATGTATCACTTTGTCTGCTAATGTCTACCAATGTCTCACTTTGTCTACACAGTACAGTAAAACAGTACAAAATGTCTCACTTTGTCTACCAATGTCTCACAATGTCTCACTTTGTCTACCAATGTCTACTAATGTATCACTTTGTCTACTCATGTCTCCTAAAGTCGCACAATGTCTACTTTGTCTACTTATGTATACTAAAGGTGTGTAGTGTGTAGACATTTACATAAAAATCACTTAATCGCCAAAACACTTTCCCAAACAGACAAAATGCCGAGTAACCCTGCGATTGACGGGGGTATGGGGCAACTTATGGATTTCGTTACAGTGTTTCTCAATACGCGTATTAAACACGTATTAAATTGTAACTGCACATTACTGCACGTAACATAACAATACTAATTTCCATAGTAAAACAAAACTGCACATAACGTAACTGCACAAAACTTAACTGCACGTAACTGCCATGTTATTTAGAGTGTGGCAGTGCCGTGTTGTGTTTGTAAATCGTATACACGTAGTTATGCGCACCTATTGGTAGGTCGTAGGTACCGTACGCCAGCTGCAAAATTTGAAGCCATCACACCTCAAATCTCTTTTGGCGTTGGACGAAAGTAAGGGGAACCGGTACCATCTGCTGCGCGACTACAAGTGTGCAGGGATTCATTCAACAAGCTGTAATTTGACGGTCCATGGTGGTACCGTGATACTCCCTACTCGTGTAGCTGGCGTACATACGGTCGTACGGTATCAGTTCATTGAGTACTGGGTAAATTCATCAACAAGTAAGTTTACGGTTGACGGAAGCGCACAAGTTCCTGTTGGACACCTTCTCAAAATATCACGGAGCTATCTGCTGGTTTCTGGTAGATGCGGTACCAAATTTGCATCCAAATGTTAGTATTACTAGTAAAGTAAAAACTTCATTCAGCCACATGTTTACCAGAACTACCAGATTGAAGCTGTCTTCCAGCGAACTGGCATCGTCGAGAAAGGAGGGGCATGACCCATAAGTAATACGTGGGTTCACTTAGATAGACCCTGGTTATGCGGCCGGCTTACGGTGCCGAAAATCCTAGGAGAGCCAGGAGCCGGATAACAAAGCAGGACAACTTTCGTTGGCACGCGAAACGCAACGACAAAGTAAGTGCTTGCTTGCTGGCCACGCATTGGATGCAAGAGAAATTTAAGCCAATCCTCCGAAGGGACCGCAGTCAGGGCACAAACGCACAAACTCTACCAAGAGATCTCAACTGTTACCATCCACAACCCAACTTCGGCAGAGAGTCGTCACATTTGGGCTTGGGCTCTTCGCGTTCTCCTGTAAACGGTGGTGTTATCTCTCGATATCTCATAAACAAGCAAGATCGTTATTGCTGGCTAGTTTGTTGGCCCAACGGAGCAGTCAGTCTTTTCCCGTCATTCCAAAATCTGAAAAAAGCAAATGACCATGGCCACTGGACCTTCCAGCAGCACACCATGGCTGTATCGCTTCTCTGTCTGGGTTGTTATCTTGTTGGGATGCCTTGTGTCAACAGTGATGGCTCGTCGAGCTAACAGCAAAGATACGAGTGGCGGCAATGTACAAGTGGCATTGGCCTCAGCTACGGCTCTGCTGGTTGGATATTGGATGACCTCACCCACCAAAGAAGAAACCAAGACTGAGTATCCTGCTGTCAACAAGGACAAGACACTCATTTGGAGGGAAGACGAGGGTATCAGCAAGTTGGTACCTTTGCATCCCCGTGGCGCAGAGGACCCTACTATCCTCAAAAAGTACACCATGGCTGAGGTGGCGAAGCGCGATTCTCCGGCTGAAGCATGGATCATCATTGATGAACGTGTCTACGACATTACCAACTTTGTCGCCAAGCATCCTGGAGGCGAATTGGTACTCTATAACATGGCCGGCAAAGACTGTACCGATGCCTTTGCCAATTACCACCAGGCTGCCATCTACAAAAAGTGGCTACCTCCCTACCTCATTGGACAAGTCACTGATGTTCCAGTCTATCCACATGTACAAGACTTTAGAGATATCCGCCAAGAACTCCTGAGAAAAGGACTCTTTGAAACAAACCCTGTCTTTTACTACAAGATGTATGCTTGGTATGCTACTCTCTTCTTCTCATCCCTTTATCTCACTCTCAAATGCCAGTCCACTGCAGCTCACATGCTGGGAGCAGCATTCATGGGAATGTTCTGGCAACAGTTGGCTGGATGGGGACATGACATGGGACATTCCTCTATCACACACAACTGTCAATACGATAACTTTGTTGGATCGACCCTTGGATGTGCCATTCTGGGCTTTGGCGTGGGTTGGTGGAAGCGAAGCCACAACACTCATCACGTTGTCTGTAACTCCATCGAAAACGACCCTGATATCCAACACATGCCCCTCATGGCTGTCACACCCGAAATCCTCAAGGCACCCTTCTGGAGCACGTACCATAAGAAGGTCGTCGTTGCCGATGCAGCAGCCCGATTCTTTGTTAGCTACCAGCATTGGTTCTTCCCCCTCCTTTTGGCGGCAGGCAGATTCAATCTCTACGCTCTGTCATGGATCTTGCCGCTGACTGCCCACAAACAGGATGCCATTGTCATGCACAACATTGGGTATGAGCTAGTCGGTCTAACCTTCTTCGCTTCGTGGGTTATCGCACTTGCGTGCTCACTGCCCACATGGCTGGAAGCAGTTGGTTGGATCCTTTTAAGTCATGGTGTGTCAGGTCTCTTGCATGTCCAGATCGTCCTCTCTCACTATAGTATGGACACCTACCATGGCAACGCCTACAATGATGAATCCGACGAATGGTACAAAATGCAGATCAAAACCACCATGAATGTTGATTGCTACGAGTGGTTGGATTGGTTTCACATCGGACTGCAATTCCAGACCGAACATCATCTCTACCCCACTCTGCCAAGACATAATCTTCGCATTGCCAGACTAATGGCCCAACAAGTTTGCAAGAAGCACGGAATACAGTACAACGAAACAACCTTTTTCCAGGGTGTCATCAAGACAGTCCTGCACATGAGGGCAACGGCGCTGGAATGCCGCAAGGGCACCTTCGATTATCAAGCCAGTACCAGTCTTATTAGGGATTTGCTCAATGCCAACGGGTAGAAACCAAGCCAAACAAAGTTTACGTTTTCCGCACCATGTTCCTGTTCCACCCGCCCAGGCGTTCTGGGCTTTCTAGATGAATCTTCTAAGAGAATCATCGCAGATAATGACAACCATTAATTAATACATATGACGTATAAAATTGAATCATTCTGCGCTACAAGAACGGGCTACAAGCTAGTTTAGCTACCTCCAACAAATAATGCGGGGATTGTCGCTGCCGTAAACCAAGCAACAATTTGCCTCCACTATGGGTCGGAAATAACATTCATTGTCGACCTGGGCACGAATGTGGATACTGGTAGTGCCGGAATAACTTACTTGTAGGTAGCTAGATCAAGCGTGCATACAAGAGTTGGTCTATTAAAAGTAGCTCTGAAGGGACAGCAGAAGAGGACAGCCGTCACCCAGTCATAAAGAACAAACACGCATTCATACAGAAAGTGCTCAAGGAACGGTATAGGCAAAGGGACTGATCGTTGGACTCGTCGGGCCAACACTACCACAGCATGCGTGCTCCAATGGGCAGGATGGGGTCAAAGAGAATCCCCGAAGTCCCACAGACCTTGACGGCGGGTGGTGTAATGTGATGATGGCCATGATGCCGGTCGTCATCTTGTTCCGTACAGGCAATGCCATCGGCCGGTCGAACATCCATTCCACAATCGGCATCTGGATGTGGCAGCGTGGCCGGGTCCACCCGCTTGAGGCGAATGTATCCTTCTTCGCCCCATTGAGGACCATAGGAGTTTCGCACCAACCAATAGTCTTCTCCTGTGGTTTCATCGGTGCCATACCCCATCAAGACCACGACATGATTGATATCCGTTTGTCCCACAGAATGCCCTCGTGGTGTAAAGACACCACTTTCGTAGAACCGCCAGGGGTCGGCCGCTACATTCACAATGACGGGCCCAACCTTGGCGAGCGCATGCATCAGAGACGTGTAATTGTTGGTGGGTAACTTGGCATATCCGTGGACCGTAGCCACGGCATGGTCGTAGTACTTGGAGAGTCTGGATGCTACTTCCACTCCGGTAGTGATGTCGTCCTCCTCCTCCTGGAGAGAGCACTTGACTTGATGCCTTCCATCAAATGATTGGTATCCAAAGTGCCATTCATCGACGATTCCCTTGACCGCAATAAAGTCTAGTGCCAACTCCGCCGTGGACCCCGAACATCCTCCCTTGCCACCACAATGATTGGGGTTGGGTACGCACGAGACTAGTTCCTGCATGCTCAAACTGAAAAGTGTCTTATTGGATGACGCCATGGCGACATGTGATTCCAGTGCAGCCGTGGTGGCAAATGCCCAACAACTTCCGCACCGTCCTTGTGCCTTGACTGGAGTGGAGAGTGGCTTGCCTGTCTTGGGACACGTGCGCCAGTCAACGGATTTGGGAAGCATTTCGGAAGAGGAAAATGTGAGATCTTCCACCAAGCTCCAGTAGTCAAGCTGTAACGGAATGAACATAATATAAAGAAGGAATGAGTCAACTCCATCATGGAAGCATCAGGGTATATCAGCATAAAGCAAGATTGGACGTACCTGACGACTTTTGCTAGTTGTCGCTGAAGAATCATCTGATTTAGTCAGCATGGAAGGGTCAATGTGATTTTGGCTCCACGCCTCGTGCCGTGTCTTATCGTATCCTCGTTGTGGCAATTCATAGTCGAATCGATCCATGAATTGGTTCAAGCCTAGCATGTGTCCTTGCGGATGATTGCTATTGTGGCGACGAATGATTTCCTTGTTGTAGTCAAACAATGCTTTTCGCTTGTAGTATTCACTGGTAGATCCCACCATTTTCTCGGGAATATCCGAGAGATAGTCGTCATAGGTGTAATGGATAGTAGATTTGTCATCACCTGAGGACTCCACTTCGTGCCCCTTGGGAAGATGAGCGGATGACTGGATCTCTTTGCCGCCGCTGATGGAACTGTCTCCCGCCACAATGGTACTCATCGGTCTCCTCCATGATGATACAGGTACAGAAACTTCTTCTTCCTGTAGCAGACACCAACCTGCCACACAGGCCATGGCGACAACCACTCCAATCCACAGTCGAAACATTATTACTCACTGCGGTAGTTGCTGCGTTGCTTACTTTGTTCAGGCGAAAAAAGTGAGAGAGACCGTCATTTATTGCGTTGTTTGGGTTGTGCGGGAGAGCGCGCCATTGTGTCATCCGTTTGGTTGATGCCAATGATCATTCGATTGATTGAGATTCGGAACTCTTGCAATTATGTCGAATATTCGACATGCACGTGACTGAATTGGTACGTGACGGAAAGATACAGTCTGTCCGTCACATGCCTTGAGGACCAGTGCCTTTCTCGAGCTCATTTTTTTCTGTGTTTCCATCGTGCTTTGATTCTTCTTTGGAGACAAAACAGTTTGGTCCAAAACACATCCAAAGCGCACTCTATCTATCTAGCAAGCGAGCAACAAGCAACAACAAGCAGTACTACAGTACGGTAAAATGGGAAAGCACAAGCAGACCAAGCGAGAACGCAAGTTTGCCATCACGGGCGGCGTCAAGGGCCGTTTGGAGAATGGTGGAACCATTGTGTCCAAGGGCAAGAAAAAGATGAAAAAGAGAGCCGAAAAGACTAGTAAGGATCTTGCCGCCATTGAAAAGAAGGAACGACGAGCGCAAAGGAACGCCGATGAATACAAGCAACAGCAGAAAGCGCAACGTGATGCAGAAGATTTTACAGGACGTGACAACTTGAGTGGCATGGATGTCAATTCGTTCTTTGCCACTTTGGAAGAGGAATTGACCAACAACAAAAACCAGCTCTCTGACTATGAGGATGATGATGTCATGATGAGTGATGATGATTCATCGGAAGAAGATCCAAAGAAAGAAGAGGAGAGCGACAATGACGAGGAAAGCTCTGAGGAGGAGGAAGAAGAAAAGCCCACCAAAGCGAGCAAGAAGAAAACTGAGCTTTCTTCTAAAGCCAAATCTTCCAAGAAAGAAAAAGAGGCATCCAGCAGTAGCAGCAGCAACAGTGACGAGGATAGTGACAGCAGCAGCAGTAGTGATGATTCTTCGTCGGACAAAAAGCCTCCCAGCAACAAGAAAAAGGCATCCACAAGCAACAAGAAAACCAAAAAGGCTGCTTCAGATGGCGATGATGACAGCGATAGCGACGACGAGGACATTGACGCTGCAGAAGCCAGAATGAAGGCAGAAATGAAAAAGCTGCAAAGTGAGGATCCCGACTTTCACGAGTTTCTAAAGGAGAATGAAGAGGAATTGTTGGATTTTGGAGAAGAACAAGAAGAAGACGACAATGACGACGAAGACGATGCTGAGGACAAAAAAGACGACAAGGAAGATGACAAGGGAGGTGATGCAACCAGCATTGAATTGACACCCAAAATGCTGCGAGACCTGAGCAGGGGTGCTTTTCAAGATCACGGAATCAAGAGTCTCAAGAAACTGCTCAGGGCATACAAATCAGCCTGTAAAGTCGCAACCAACGCCGCCGACGACGACCAGGGCGGAGACGACAACAATAGCAACAACAAAAAGAAGCGACGACGACAAAAGAACCAAGAAAAATCCTATCGAATCGAGTCATCGAAAGTCTTTGATTCTCTCATGGTCACGACGTTGGGACGTTGTCATGAATCCTTTTACTATCATTTGCTCGCGACGGAAGAAGAAAAGCAGCAAGCCAGCCAAAACAAGAAGACTGCGAAAGCCAACAAAGATAACAACAAAGAGGCAAGCAATAAAGGCAAGAAGGGTACGAAACAGAAACGTACCGGTGAAGAGGATGACGGAGATGACGAGGAAAGGAATCCTGGTGAAAATGAGGAGAAAGAAGGAGGCAAAGAAGAAGACACTGTTGATGTCGATGAAACACCTTTGGATCCAAAGGTTCTTGAGCGATCCGACAAATGGGTGGACGTCAAGCCTCTCCTCAGCGTCTTTCTGAGGTCAACATTGCATCTCATTTCCGAATCGAAAGAGCCAGATCTCTTGGCTATTGTCCTCAAGTCGCTGGACAAGTATATCCGATACATGACACCTTTCCCTCGCATTGCTGAAGCCCTGCTCAGGACATTGACGGGGCTCTGGTCTGCGCCTATGGGAGATGCATCGGCCGATTACCAAGTCGTGCGTTTGAATGCATTTCTACGCATCCGGCAGCTCGCCCTCACGCAACCCTTCCCATTCATTGAGACTTGCTTGAAAAAGACCTATTTGGCATATGCTCGAAGAGCCAAGTTCGGGGGAGATTCAGCCTCGGTCATGTCCAACACGTTGCCCACGCTCACATTTATGGGAAACTGCCTCGTGGAGCTGTACAGTCTCGACCACTCGTCTTCGTACCAGCACGCATTTGTCTACATTCGTCAACTTGCATTGCTGCTAAGAGCATACATGCAAAAGAAGACCAAAGAAGCTGCACAGCAGGTGTTCTGCTGGCAATTCATCCACTGTCTCAAGCTCTGGGTAGCGGTTCTCTCCACTTGTTGTAAACAAGCTCGAGAAGGGACAAACGACGGGAAGAATGCTGATCACTTGATGCGAGAGCTGGTGTATCCCTTGACTGAAATCATCATGGGGGTAGTCCGACTCATGCCCGCCCCGACTCGTTATGTCCCTCTACGATTCCATTGCGTCCGTCTTTGCCAGCAGCTCGCAGCCGCGTCGGAAAAGTTCATCCCCACGACCTCACTTCTCATGCCGATACTAGACCTCAAAGAGATCAGCGCGAAACCCAAGAAGGTCAAGTCAAGAGGAGCGACTACTCGAGGGGTGCAATTGCCGTTTCTACTTCGCTTGCCAAAGGACGATCCGCTGCGGACAGCAGAAGAACAAGAAGCAGTCATGGCAGAACTGTTCAAACTTCTGAACCGAGAACTGGACCTGTATCAATATTCCCCTGGCTTCCCGGAGTTTCAATTCAACGTCAACCAACGCTTGAAGAAGGTAAGAAAGTGATTTGTTTGGTGCCAATGCATGAGCGCATGGCGGCTGTTTGTGGTACGATTTCTGCACTGGTTGATTGCTCACTCTTGAGATTGTCTTGGTTGACTCCCGCACATTTCAGTTCATCAAGAACACCAAGAATAGTCGTTGGCGTGTGTATGCCCGCGGGTCTGTTGATTTGTGTGAACGCCACATGGATTTCGCCATCCATGCGCGGTCAGACCTTTCGGCAGCACCGAAGGATGTGAAGACTTTGGAATGCATTCGGCCTCAAAAGGAGTCTTCCATGGGAGATAGGTATGCCGCGGCCGTTGAGAAGGAAAATAAGGAATGGACAAGCTTGATCGCACCAACGTTGGCAAAGCAGCAGTCTTCTGGTGCTCTCGGAAGAAAGAATGACGCTGTCGAAGGCGGTGGTAACAGTGACGACAACGACGAGCCCAAAAAGAAGAAAGCAAAGCGGGGAAAGAAAGCAGCGCAAGTTCCACCACCAGCTGTGGACGACAAAGTGATGGACATCGAAGACACGGTAGAGGAGGGAGTGGTGTGGTCTTCCGACGATGATGCGTAGAACAGGTGGCTACCAGTAGTTATTGTTGTGCTTGCTATTGACTTTGCCGTTCGTACTTGCCTAGTTAGAGTTTGCTCAACAGTGTTACTACTACTAAAGTTATATGTAATGTATAAAACAGCAAGGAGGCTCTTCGAGCCGGGATAAGGTACGTGTAGCGCGTCAATCACATGGACAATCACAACCGCATATTTTGGAACAGTCGAAACATAGTATTGCTAGGGAATTGCACCACTCTTCCGGCATGGATCCGGTCAAGTTTGTCTCCGTCAAAGAAACCCACCTCAAGCCATCACCAACGTCCGACGTTTTGGGAGGTGGCAACTTGCTGCATTTCGCAGTTTTATTCATGTTGTTTTGGTGAAGAAGCGATGTCATTGATGCAGGAATTGTGCCAGACAGTTTTGGATTGCTTGGAACAGCAAATCGAAGCATGTTTGTGAGAAGACCTAGCTCAGTAGGAATGGTGCCAGTGAGACCGGCTGATGTCATCTCCATGTGTTTGATGTTCGCCAATCTGCCGAATTCAGATGGTATCGCCCGAAGATCTTCACCACCAAGTTGCAATAGAGTCAATTTGGTTAGTAACCCCAGTTCGCTTGGAATTTCAGAGACAAAGTTGTTTCGACCCAACTCTAGCAGGCTCAGTGAACTAAGGTTCCCAACAGCAGTAGAGATAGTTCCAGTCAGAGAGTTCTTCGCCAAGTGGAGGGTTTTCAAAGTTGTCATTTGCCAGAGTTCATCGGGAAGCGATCCTGTCAGAGCATTCGCTACAACGTGCAGTTTCCGCAAGCTGCCCTTCCAAAGCCCCACTTCTGACGGCAGACTCCCGGACAATCTGTTTTTCAACATCATTATTCCTTGGATCCTTTTCCACCCCGCAAAGAGTTCCGTCGGCAGCGACCCACTAATCTGGTTCCCCATCAAGAAGACGTCTTCCATGGAGGACAAAAGTGCCAACTCTTGGGGTCGCAGTTGCAGTGGAACGGACAAAGTGAGACTCGCTAACGCGAAACAGTCAAACCAGAGCACCAGTAGTGCTGCGCTTACCCGGAGGAAGTGTCCCTGCAAGGTTGTTTTCGGGTATGATGAGATTAATGTATTCCCCATCATCATTGCAATTGAGCTTGCCATCTTTGGCGCTCATGGTGTACCACTGGCATTCATGTGGCGCTTGATAGTCCAGCCACGCAAACTGGCCTGCTTGTGGCTTAGGTGGCGGGCGAGGTGGAGGCGGTCCTCCCCCGCCACCACTTGGAGCGCCCCCTGGTGGTCCGCCACCACTTGGAGGGCCACCACTTGGATCACCCCCTGGTGGTCCAATTCCAGTGACACCCTCTGTTACGTTTGGACCGAGTAGCGGCTTGTCTGCGGTGGGTGGCGGTCCTTGGTCGTGCCCATCTGGTCGAGTTTGGTTGGGAGTATCGGTTTCGTCCACTATCACAAAGGAAGCCAGATTTCTGCGCCTATCGGATATCTCTCCATTCTCAATCCAATGATCACCGCCCGTGGAATAGAAAAAGGTGGCCAAGGCGAACCTTTGAAGAAGACGGGCCGTCGAATAGTTTGCCAGAAAAGGGTCATTCAAAACCCACTGATACGCTCTGGACTGTGGCAGGGTACCAACAGGATTCGTTGCAATCACAGTTTGCGAAAAGAGAGGCAACTCTGTGAAAACACTCGACGTGGGGCCATTGAAGTTGCAGCTGACGGCGCTACGGAGGAGACTGGTGTTGGTACTGCCGAGACCACCTCCACCTCACTCCTGTCAATCCCAAAGACTGTCGCGAGAACAACAACAGCCAGCAAAACAATGCCACAAAAGCAGTACATCGAGGTTCGCACAGCTTCTTTCCGTTGTTTGGTTTCCTTGGCTTCTTCGAGAGCTGAGAGGTCCACAAGTCCGCTTCCTGGCTCGGCATGAGATGGTCGGAGACAGGGTTAGCCTCTACCAGTCCATGGTCGCCGAAAGAATCATCTCGGGGTATATCCAGAGTCTCGGATCCTGGTTCCGACACACTGGGCATCAAATTACTAGAACTTGTGCGGTGTCCGACATCAAGAACTGCAGGGGAAAACGTCAAACGGCGTTGTGCGCCTATCCCTGGTTCGCTGTGGTATGCTCCTGGTCGTATGTACAGAGCTTCTTCACGAGACAGATTGGTCATACCAACAGATGCCTGGTCGTGCCCTTCTGCTCCAAGATTATTCGATCCATTAAGCTGTCCCTTCTCTTTCTCCTTTTCCATGTCATGGGAACTGGGGGCCAATGCGTCTTCTATCGCATTATGGATGCTTGGATGGAACGTATCTAGATCTTGGCCCCTCCTGCGACGACCGCTAAAACGTTCCTTCTCTTTCTCCTTCTCCATGACATCGGCACTGGGGGCCAATGCTTCTTCTATCGCATTGCGGATGTTTGGATGGAACATGTCAACACCATTGGCAGTATCTAGATCTTGGCTCATTCTGCTACGGAGTTGCTTCTCTTTCTCCTTTTCCTTTTCCACGTCATCGGCACTGGGGGCCAATGCTTCTTCTATCGCCTCGCGGATGTTTGGATGGAACATGTCAACACCATTGGCAGTGTCTAGACCTTGGCTCATTCTGCTACGGCGTTCCTTCTCTTTCTCCTTTTCCATGTCATCGGCACTGGGGGCCAATGCTTCTTCTATCGCCTTGCGGATGTTTGGATGGAATGCATCAACACTATTGGAAGTATCTAGATCTTGGCTCACCCTGCTACGGCGTTCCTTCTCTTTCTCCTTTTCTGCATTGCGGATGCTTGGATGGAACGTGCTTGGACTACCGGCAGTTTCTAGTGCTAGATCTTGGCTCATCCTGCTACGGCGTTCCTTCTCTTTCTCCTTTTCCACGTCATGGTCAATGGGGGCCAAGAAGCGGATGCCTGCATCGATTGTGCTGGACACATTACAGGACTCGTCTCGAAGGGTCAGGTCTGAAATAGCAGAGTCTTCCTCTTTCTTCACATCATCATCAAATGCACTCTTCTCCTTCTCATACACGTTGGTCGCCTGTTTCATTGACATGATTTGCTTGGTTGTTTGGTGGTTCCTTGGTTGGAGCGTTGCAGCAGCAATGGAAGTGTGGTTGTGCGACTTTGGCTGTGACTTCTAGTGGGCTTCAATTTGTTGACATCCAGTTTGGAGCGATCTGCACATCTGCACCTTCCAAAAGAGCACTACATGTAAACTCCAGAAGGGGAGAGCTCGAATGCTCGAATGCTCGAATGGGATATGGGATCCATGTATGATGTGGTACCGGTACAGTACCCGTACCATGGAACATGGAGCGATATGCATAGCTCAGCTTGTACTCAGTCCGCATGTACGCATCTATCATCTACCGTATGTCGTACTGTTTACTCAGTACAAGTTTACAAGTAAGTAGACACCAGCTGGTGGCTACTATTAATAGCTAGCTAGACTACCAGTAGTGGCTAATATTTTAGAATGCACATCAGGTGCCCTCTTTAACCACCTCATCGCGGTGCGACATTGCATCACTGGCGCATTGCACATAGCACGAACCGGTACACAATTGATTTACACTAATGGTGCTTCAGTCACTTATGTAGTGTTACCGTGGGAAATGGAAACTGAGTGCAACTTTAATAAAATAAGCACATACTACATGTAGTAAGCACTTTTGAGTACATACATGTAAGCCCGTAAGCCCCATAAGCAAGGGAAAAGTCTCTGCTTCTTTGTCGTAGTTCCTGGTTCCTGGAACATAGCTCCCAGCCACCTGCCAGCTGCTCAAATTTCAAGCTGCCAGCTGCTCCTTTCGCTCACGGCCTGCTGCTCCTTTCGCCCACCTTAAATCCTCCTGGCTCTTGCAAAAAGGGAAATGGCCAACCGATCTTCTCTCTCTCCAATGTTTGTGGGGGTTATCGGTCCCGGTAGTGGCAGGGTGGGGCACGGTTGGGCAAGTGGTACCATGTACACTATGCTCAGATGAAGGGGGGGATTAGAGTAGGGAAATTATCTACGGAAGCCAGCCGGGGCCAGGCTTAAGCAAAGAACAGTCGAAATTCAGGACTAGGTTCTGTGGGATCAGGGGCAAGAAAGTGAGGACCAGTACGGGGGCCAAATGGTTTGGCTTTGCGAGATCCACGGAGACATAAATTGGTAGCTTTCACAAGGGCAATTGAGATACCGGTCTGCATGAAAAACATCATTTGAGAGTAGGAAAACTGAGTTTTGGAGGCAGTAGCAGAAGCAAGCCGTTGTAAGAGAATCTTGGCTTGGGGGGCAAGCATGCCATCCACAGAAACCACAAAGGGATGGAAGGAAGCGCGATTGGAGTCCCACCCTGCTTTGATACATGTATACTGCACATCCTTTTAAAATAGAATTCTATTCTGGGCATTGGGCATCAATAGATACTGGTTGACTTTGGTCTGGTCTAATATTATTATGTTGTCAGGTCTGCCCTCATGTCCCATACGATCTTTCCATGTGGGGTTGACTATGGTACCGTACAAGCGATTGGGGTAAGTGCGCCCTCTACATGTACTGGGCAAGCGGGGCTATTGGTACGCAGGTGCTTGTGTTGATCGAGATCTCCGCTTTTTGGCTTGGGCGTTGATGGTTGTTGCAAGACTACCTGGTACTGATCGGTACCGGTGCCGACATCTTGATGCGCAACTTGGGATGTCCCCGGTCTCCGGCTTGAGCCAAGCTCTGTGTGCAGTCTGCTCTTGACGTTGACTGGAATTGTGGAACGATCAAGTTGCAACTTGTTCTTCGGAAAATTCATCACCGACGTTTTCGTTACCTGTGCACGTAGACCCACTTCTCGTTTCTCTTGATTCTGGATGATCCGTCGGCTCCACGGTATCGTTGAGACAGGAAACGGCTACGGGTACTTTGGCATGCTCATCATGGTCCCCAGGGTCGCTGTCGTCATCGCTAGGGGTCATATCAACAGCTGGGGCGCCAACAACAGCCTCCACGACGGCTCCCGAAGTGGCCGAGACCCTCTCAATGATGTTCTGTGCAATGGCCGCTGGATAAAACCAGCCAGAACCCTGAGGCGGTCTGGCGTTGATCATTGAGGCGCTCATGCGGTGTCTTGGTCGAATGTTCCAAACAGCGCTGTGAAGCATCGGCGCAAAATATATCACTAGCGTTGCAAAGGTGTCACCGCTGAGGGCTAGCGATGCAAACGCTTGGAGGCGGCTCAATGCGACAGTGCTCTCCAGGGACAACACAATGATTCGTAACACCAGAAACAGAAAATGCGAATAGCACATGATGCCCAGGCGACGCGATTCGTTGAATTCGCTGACCACATGCCTGGTTTGCACAGCCAGGGCGACTGCCATGAATAGCAGGAACACTTGCCAACCCATTTGGACCATCGCCCAAAAGCGCTCATTTGGAGCACAGTAGTAATTGATTTCTAAATCATGAAACACCAGTGGTTCGTATCCATCTTGTTCATTGTCACCATTCTCATTGGCGGCGTTGATGGTTGTGGTCGTCCCTGGCAAGAGAATCTCCTTCTGTCTCATTGGTGGGTCCAGAACTGTGTGACACAAGAGATACACGACCACAGCCAAGACCACCAAAACTACTGTCCGAATCAAATGCCACCGCTTCAGTTTGATCCGTCTCATCCGTCGTGAGGCAGCCATGAGCCTGTGGATGGCTCCCACTTTGACTATCAACGGTACAAGTTCGAGCGTGTATCCGAGTTGGACCAGCCAAACAGAGGTAATGCATGTGCCAGTTGTAGGTTGGAGCGCACCAATGAAAGCACCCAGACACACGAAGAAGAGTCCGGTCAAAATCAATTGAACGAACTCAATTTGAGCATACTTCATGACTGTTTTTTCACGGTAGATGTAAACAGCCAACGCTGTGGCCACGGTCACGACACAGGTAAACACACTGATCGCCAGAGCAATTGATTGCACCCCGTGAACATTCGACTCTTGCACTTGCCGTGGATACGTTCTGGGAACAAATCTTTGAAGTTCATCAAGGTTCTCAGCCACCCAACGGCAAACAGCATCCCGTGGATCATATCCCCACTCGTCAACCCCTCGGTCATACCAGTAGTCAAAGATGCTTGCTATTTGCAAGTCAGATATGCGAAACCGTTTGACGGTTGCATAGGCTGGGCTTTGTTGCGCCAATGGTAAGGCTGCATTGTCATCAAAAAGATTGGAGACAATCAACTTTTGATACGTGTGTGGCTCACTCCCACAAGCTCCTTCAGGTGGCCCAACCTGATCGAGAATATGTTCAGAACAGCGCCCTTCCTCAGAAACTCTTGCGTCAACACACTTTTGTGATGGAACAGGCAGTAAAATTTCTTGGAACTCCGCATCAGTTCCCAAGAAACTTTGAAGCATTCGGTCTGGCGTGAACCAGTAGAACAAGACTGGTGACTTTGTGTAGTTTGCTGCTTGATAGACTTCGAGCATGCGAAGAAAAGGATACCCTCCATTCATTTCTGGACCATTACTCTCAACAGCAATATCGTTGTGATAGGCTTGGGGAACAACAAAGGTTGACCAGTCACAGATCACATTTGCGATATGCCCTGTGCAGCTGTTTGGGTAATTCTCGCAGTCATTTTCTTTGGTGGCTCGGAAGTGCCCGTGATAAAGCCCAGGAACAAAATACTGCTGTTCTTCTTCTTCTGTCTCCGGGGGTCGAGTGGCTATAGGTTCTGTCAGATTGTTATTACCAGGCCCAAGGCACTTGGTCGGGGCCACTTCATCGCAGTATTGCTTCCACGTTGTGGGCCGCTTGAAGGTTGCGGCTAGCTTCTTTCTCGCCTCAGACCCCCTCAGACCATAATGAGACAACAAAGTAGGGTCTTTTTCAGCCACAAACCGGGGGACATACCAACTGTACTTGGCCACCCCGCCAGTCCCTTCAGCAGGTTCAATCAATCCATCATTCTCGAGTTGCCTGTAAATGGACCTTTGGCCTGCCCACGCTTCCGGCATGACATGGGCACATGACTGATACTCCCCAGTTGCATTTTCCATCCCATCACGGTGCGCTCTTTCCTGATCATTTTGAAAAACAGTCGGCCGACAATCATTTTCGTCCTTAGCTCGTTGCATCGCGTCATAGTCATAAGAGCTTGGAGAGTAGTGCAAGCGGTATAAAGGATCATAAAAATTGGCAACGGTGTCCCAGCCACTACCTTCGATACTGACAGGAACTCTAGCCACCTCCGAGAGCAAAATTTGTACTATCCAAGCAGTCAAAACAGTCGAGTCCCAATTTTGTAACAGTGCTCGAATTTCATTGTAATCAATTGCGGGCAGGTCGCAGTGAGCACTATCTGGGTCAAAGGAATACTCCAACTCAGCTTCCTCCATGTTTTGCTTGCCATAGTATCCATCGTGAGAACTGCAGATCCGGCGATGAGGAAACCTTTCAGGACCCAAGTAGTTCCGCAGACAACCAGCTGCAAGCGGATTGCTGCAGACCCCGTCAATGCATTCAGATCCTGGCCGCAGGAGAGTTTCGCATGTTGCCGTGTTCTCACAGGCGATAACAGCTTCCACCGTAGTTTGGAAGACGCTCAAGCTCAGGATCAGCAGCACCGACCAGTTGCGTGGTAAGGTCGGTTGTCGTTTCGTTGGGTTCATTCTTGGGCCAGTGCCTTGAACTGTTGTGAAATCATCCCATCGTCGAGGGTTGTGTTTGTGGTGGGTGGGGGCCGCTCGGGGGAAAGGATGGTGTTGCGGGAATGCGCCTGTTGAAGCACTTCCAATGGGGCAAATTGCTGGTGTCAAAAATTAAATCTTCCACTTTGGGGCAGCAATTCTTCCAGATTGAAATTCCTCCATGATTCTTCAAAATTATAAACTCATTGTTCAAATTTTAGTGGATCTTCCATTTTCAGTCATTCTTTAGAATGTAACTGAAACAAACCCGGAAAGCAGGTTGTTCCCGCAACTTTGATCTGGTCGTTGTGCTGCCTTTCACAACAAGTGCTACATGAGAGCCAGGTCTACCGTAGTAGCTAGCCAGAGGTGTGTGAATAACGGGCATTCTTGCGTTGAAGCTCGAGAGAGAATAAGAATAGGAGGTGAGGAAATATTGGATTTTTGCAGCGTGATAATATTTCAAATGTTTACCGCAGCTACCCCTTTGACTAGCTGTCTCAAAAAACCGGCGCTTCACACATACCGGTGGTACCGGTACGACTACTAGTACGGGTGCAGTGAACATTTTTTTGCGTTGTGTGTGGTTACGTAGACTATTACATGTAACTATCCAGACGGCATAACCTTGGGTTGGGTTGGGTTGCCACACCGTACCGGTATCTGGTAGTAGGGTATGAAAGGTGGAAGAAACACACCGACTGCGGTTGCCAGTTTGGCGTCGGAGGACTCGTGTTCACTCTGGCTAGTAGCTAGCTACGGTAGAACCAAGACCATCCTCGGCTGGTTAGCTGTGATGCATACTCTGTCCATAGCCCGCACCTCGTTGCTCATACCGTACGGTACCGGTAAGGTGGGGGGGGGTACCTGGTACTGTCTGTACCGTAGGCACCGACAAGAAGAGCAGACAAACACCCAGAAGATCATCACTGTAGACTAGACTACAGTAGTTTAAGAGTTTTGTTCTTCGTTCAAGGTCTTTGCCAGCATTCCAAAGTACAGTAGAACGAGGCTCGATCCCTCCCACAAGTAGGTAATGTATTACATGTAACGTAGCTCGCTACCTGTAGCACTAAGACTTCAGCAAAAATGCAGTTACTTCTTTTTTTTTAAATGCAGAAATACATATATGGAAAGAGTCTCACATAATCTGCCCTCAACAATAGACGAATGAAAAACATAAAATACCAGACAATACAACCCAGGTATTGAGATAAAGACATGAATACGTGACCCTTGCTGTCATCACATTAGGGGTTTCCACTGGTGCTGTTTGGGTTTACCAGCGATTCCAGAATACGGGCCGCCAAGAGACGATCCAAATTTTGGGTCCCTGCTGCAGGCTGTTGTGGTCGTTGCTGCTGACTTGGTTGCTGATGCGATTGGCCTTGCTGCTGCATCAAGACCTGTAAGGCTTGCATCACGAGCGGGTCTGTAGACGCACCGCCATTTGTGGCACTGGTCGTGCTGGCAGGTGCAGGGGCGGATTCACTCGGTGCCGACGACGCATCGGTCGGAGCCGCGGCCGCGGCTTGTGTGGCCGACGCTGAGCCTTGGGTCTCCGCCGAGGCTTGATGGGCTGGCACTGTGGCTTGAGACTGGGCAGTGCTTTGTTGTGCAGAGACTGCGGCTTGAGGCTGTGCTGCGGTCTGCTGTGCGGAGACTGCGGCTTGATGTGTTGACCAGCCGTGATGAGCCGGCGCTGGAGCTGTCGATGCTTGTCCGGGCGTGCCATTGTTCATCTGCAAGAGCTGCTGAAGTGCAGCAACAGTCGGGTCCTGAGGTACTGATGGCGCATTTTGAGCAGGAGTGTTTGACGGACGTTGCTGCTGCCCCAACATCACTTGGAGAGCTTGCTGAACTGGATCTGCGGCCGGCTGACCTGACTGCTGTGCATTTCCTGGAGCAGATGGAGCAGGGGCACTCGGTTGCGTCAGCTGCTGTCCCAAGAGCTGTTGGATTGCCTGTCCTGTGCTTGTTGCAGCAGTCATAGGCGGTGTGGAGGCACTTGGTTGAGTTTGCTGTTGCCCCAGGAGCTGTTGAATCGCAGATGTCAAAGCAGGAGAGGACGAAGGATTAGTAGCGTTCACCTGAGCTTGTTGCTGTCCCAAGAGGTGCTGAATTGCCTGCAGAGCCGGGTTTGCTGCAGCTGGAGCAGATGCTTGTTGCTGTTGCCCCATAAGCTGATGAAGAGCCTGAGCAGTTGGTGCAGCTGCAGCAGGGCCAGCTTGTGTTTGCTGGTTCTGCCCCAAAAGTTGTTGAGCAGCCTGCGCAGCTGCGTTTGGTTGAGGTTGCTGCTGTTGTCCCAAGAGCTGCTGTAGAGCCTGCATCGCTGGGTTTGCCGCAGATGGAGGAGCTGATCCCGGCTGTGTCTGTTGTTGTTGTGCTGCTGTCCCATGAGTTGCTGTAGAGCCTGCATCGCTGGGTTTGCTGCAGATGGAGCAGATACTGGTTGCGTCTGTTGTTGTTGCTGCTGCTGTCCATGAGTTGCTGTAGAGCCTGCATCGCTGGGTTTGCCGCAGATGGAGGAGCAGATCCCGGTTGTGTTGTTGTTGTTGTTGCTGCTGCTGCTGCTGCTGTCCCATGAGTTGCTGTAGAGCCTGCATCGCTGGGTTTGCCGCAGATGGAGGAGCAGATCCCGGTTGTGTCTGTTGTTGTTGTTGCTGCTGTCCATGGTTGCTGAAGAGCTGCATCGCTGGGTTTGCCGCAGCAGCTGGAGCAGCACTTGCTGTTGCTGCTGTCCCATAAGCTGTTGAATTGCCTGCCGCAGGGTTTGCTACAGCCGAGCAGACACTTGTTGGGGCCTGTTGCTGCTGCTGCTGCTGCTGCTGCTGCCCAAAGAGCTGCTGAAGAGCCTGCATTGCTGGGTTCACAGCAGCTGCTGGAGTAGCGGATCATTCTTGTGGTGGTTGCTGTCCCGCACCGGCTTGAGCATTAGGTCCTGCTTGTGCTTGCTGCTGGGGCTGTTGAACTGCCTGGTTACTTGGCTGCTTCAGATTCTGTTGCTGCTGTTGTTGTTGTTGCTGCTGCTGCTGCTGACCCCAAAGCTGTTGAATGCCTTGTTGGTTCATGGATGCTGCAAACTGTGGAGCTCCATGTTGCTGTTGCTGCAACTGCTGCTGGTAGTGGCTGTGCGCCAAAGCTGCTGTTGATACATTTGGGCATTTGCGGCTGCTACCGCGAGGGCAGGTTGTGCTTGGTGTTGCTGCTGCTGTTGTCCATGATATTGGTGGAAAGCAGCTTGGCCATTATTTGCAGATACCATCACAGGCTGTTGTGGCTGACGGTTTTGCTGCGCTGCAACAGGCGCCGCCGTTGTAGTACGAGGGGCTACACGGCGATTATCAGACGATTGGTGCCGAGCCGACGCAGCATCCAATTGTCTGATTCTCTTGCGGGACTGTTCCGACGAGGAACCGGTGGAGCTCTTTGCGGTCATAGGGACAGGCGCGTTGGGAGCCCCGGGGTGGTTATTCGGGGCGGGCATTTGAATTGTAGAGGGTACATTGGAGTTTGCTGCTTGGTTAGAAGCAGTTGCCACGGCTGGTGCGGAGGCCACAAAGTTTGCTGTGGGCATTTGTGCCGCTTGAGGTGCGCCGTAGGCGACATGATTTGCCGACGGCATTTGCAAGGCGTAAGCCGCATTGGTGGCCACATTGTTTGCGGCAGGCATTTGCGCCGCTTGTGGTGCCATGGCGTTATTGGCCTGCATTTGCGCCGCGTAGGGTGCATTGGCTGCCATGGCGTTGTTGCCATTCACTTGCGCCGCGTGAGGAGCATATGCCATCGGATAAGCCGCAGCATAAGGAGCCCCCGCCATGCCGGGCATGGCAGCTCCCATCATTGTCATGTGGGGGTTTGGGATCGGCATGTATCCTGGCATACCCATTCCGTGGTATTGCGGGGTGACATGCGGGTACATATGCATCGACGCCAAGAGGTCCTCGCTGCGATCTTTTTCGCGCAAAGCTTGAGAGCACTTCTTTCTTGCCTTCTTGTCTCCCACGTCGTGCCAGGGACTATCATCCCCCATTGACGGATGCGTCCTGATCAAGAAGCGCCCGGGTGGGTCCAGCTTTCTCCAAATCTGGACGACCTCGTCAGCAACCAATGGCTTGTTCGCACGGGAAGCGGCCGAGTATCTTGTCTTGAATTGGTTCACCAGCTGCCGAAACTTGATATTACCAACATGCGAGTTTGCGTCTCCTCCCCGGCCAAGCTGTAGAGAAGAGAACAGAATAAGTGAGATCGGATATTGCACAATGGAGTGGAACTCCAGGTGTTATATTCAGAGCAGGGAAACACAACACGCACCTTTACATCTAATTTGAAAATCACGAAGAGAAAGAAGAAAGATGAAAGATGAAAGATGAACAGGTAGCATGGAAGAGGAGCAATGTGAGAAACCGACAAGCATCAATACCATCAACTACAGCACAGATTTGGAACCAAGCACTCCTGCAACTGACTGACCATGCTGTCCAGGATATTCAATACCCGAATTACTTCGCCCATTCACCACCGGAGGAGGAACCCCCGCATCAGACTCAGAAGCGTCGTCTGAAGCAGGCGAGCCTCCCTGCTCAGAAGGAGACAGGTCAGAGTTAGATGATTCCGATGGGACAGCCGGCCTGGCTTCACTCCCAACAGGCGCAGCAGCGGAGAGTGGAGCTTGGGGTTTGGTGTCATCGTTCGACGGGGAAGCCTTGTCGCTGTCCGCCATGGCCTGATCTTAACTTTAGTCAGCAGACTTGGGAAGGAGGTAGCTTTGGATGCATGTGTTGGATTAGGGCTGTCCTTCAGGATAGACAATGGCGGCTGCTCAATTGTTGCCGTTCACGAAGTGGGTTGCGTTATTGTGTTGTCCTCAATCCCTGTCGTAGCGCTGGTAGTGTGTGTTGCTTGATTCACGCTTGGTTGCGGCATCTACAAGGTTTCTGTGGTTGCTGCAACCCTCCAAGCAAAAACGAAGGGTAACAATCGTTGGTTACTCGTTGAGGCTTCAAGGCAATCAATCTTAGAAGTGACTTGAATGCGGGAAACGTATTTAATCCTCAATTGATTTTGTACTCTATTTTGCACATTTCAGTCTTTGTGAGCCTTTTCCCGTATCTAAAAGATTTATCCAGGCTACGATGAAACCAACGTGACATTCAATACGATGTCACATGCGAAGTTTTTGCAACACTGAGCCAATCAAATCAAAGCATTGCATTCGCTTCACTCGAGATCTTTGCCGAAAACCGGCACACTGGGAGTGCATTCATGAAAGAACGACGAAAGAAAGGAATGTTAAATAGCTGTTGTCTCTTCGAATGACCTCATTTAACAAACCTTGTCTTTTCATCCTCTTTCTTTTAAAAACAGAACTACTATTAATAACGGTGGCTTCTCCGTGTTGATTAATGTCTGATGAGACACACAGCAAGCAAGAACTGGACACCTGACTTGCTGATGAGGATCCAATCGCCCTCTGGTGATGACGTTTCAAAGAACGGCCCATGCCCATAGAAAGCTAGAAAGTTTATCAAACCGTACCATACCGACCGGGTACCACGCTACCAGAGACAGTATCGTAGATCTATGACTACGGTACATGCTGGTACCACTGTACAGTACGTACCGATAGTCTACCAGCAGCTTTAGCTGAGGTTGAGTACGATGTACACGTACTGGCACAGCTACTGGTACAGTCGTACTGTACAAGAACGAGAACCATTCTTTTCCTCTCTCGACCGAACAATTGCAAACTGACGACCCGACACGTCAGAGGCTCGACTGAGGACTCGACTCGACTCGACTCGACTCGACTCATAAGGCTCAGTTTCAACTACTCCAAAATGAGGGTCAAATTGGAGAATCGGGCCTTGTTGAAGATGACGTGGTCAGAATGACTCCCAAATGAGGCCCTTGCCCACTACCTGAAATCAGGTTTGGGCAGAGTCCAACGGCCCTCGTCTGCCCAAAGGTGAAATCAGGTTTTGCTTCCCCGGACCATTCTGATTGGTTCATGGAGGGGAACATTCTCGAACAATCACCACCAAAGCTGGCATCTTTCTCGCAGCTTGCAACAAAACAAACACAAGCTTGCAACAAAACAAACACAATGACAACGTGGTGAGAGGAAACCACTCTCATCACCACCAATGTAGGACCAATGGCTCGCACCAAGAAAGCCACTTACCCCTACCGCTTTGGCATGAAGCCAATCAGGCTTGTGTGTTTGTTTGGTAAGCAGCATTGTCATTGTTTTGTTTCGAGTTAACAGATTTGCTGGATCACAATTCCAGTTTTCGAAGAGAGAGAACAGAAAAAGAAGTACCATGAGCAACGAAACAACTGACGAACAACGTGCTTTGTCCACCATTCCGTACCATGAACTGGGAGCAGTGCATCCAGATGCCAGTGTTGTCGGACCAACGGAAAGGTATTACAAATGTGGTGGTGAAAAGGCTGCTGATCTCATGGCAATGTGTATTGGTCTTAAGACTTTTGACTTACGTGAGGCAGGGAATGTCGATGTGGAGCCATACTGCTCAATGAAGTTGAAGAAGAAGGTAACACCAACACAGAAACACTTCTGTGAGGAGATACGTCGCCGATGCATCCTTGAAGGCCTTGTTCCTGGACCAAAATGTGGAAACTGGGAAAAGAAGAAGTGTGTTGCTTGGCTTCAGGCACATCCCCTTGATAACAAGAACGATCGTGCCTTTGTTATTGCCGAAGAGCGCAAACTCTTTGATATGGTGACGAAGTCTGACTTGGAGAAAGAGGATAAGAGTGAAAAGAAAGAGAAGGCTTCTCCCTGGGTTGATACTCAGCCATACATACGTCTCATTGAGTGTATGTTGGACGATTCCATCCGCGAATCCTTCCTTGAGATGCACAGGTTGGGTGACAGAGAGGAGTTAGATGCACGCAACTCAGAAGACAGGCCAGAAACAGTTTTCGAGTCTTGCGCACGTTTGTTCAATGATCCAAACCATGAGGTTTTCTCACGCTGCTTACCTGATCTCCACTTCACCTTTGCTGAAGTTTTGGATTGTTGCTTTGATCACATGCCAGGACGTATTACTCCAGATGAGGTCAAGCGCCGCTGGGGTGACTGTCGAGCCAAGCTGATCAAAATAATCGCAAAATGGGAACTCAGTGGCAATGGTTTCGGCCAGCGTGTCGAGGAAGATGATGAATTCGGCCATATGGGAGACGATGAGTTGCAGTGTGGTGAAAACAGGGCAAATTTCCTTGACTCCAAGACCAAGGAACACATCCTGTACTTGTGGCATGTTTCCGATGATCAGGAAATTCTGAAGAACGTCTTGTCTGTTATCTCTGAGTCTTGTGCCGCAAGTACATTGGCCTGTTCTTCCGTTGCTCCCTCGGATAATGCAAGTGCCCGCAAGAGGAAGGTTGACGAAAGAGCCCTTGGTTTCTTCCGTGCCAAGATGAGTCTTGCCATGCACACTATGTCTCGTGCCGCCATCTGGAAGGAACTTCGCGAGACACAAGAAAAGCTGTTCGAGTCTCAGTTGAAAGTGATGAAGACGAAGAGCACAAACTTGAGCGAGCTGTACATGGGACGCATTCGTATGTTGGAAGCTAACTGCACCGCCATTCAGGAATGCCTTGATACCTTGGATTGCGAAGAGGCCTTGAACCCAAGGAAGAAGAAAAAGAAGAGGAAGAATGTCCCCACCCAAGTCCGTGTGGCTGCAGGAGTTCTCGACAGTGATGACAGTGACGACAGCGATGATGAGGACGATGATGAAGATGATGCCAATGATCCTGCTGGGTCGAAAGCAGCGTCCATCGGATATTGAAAGGGCCATGGTGGCTTGTTGTTTGTTTAAGAAAGAAAACAGTTGTGTTGTGGTGGAGAGTGCAACGATGTGAGTAGTCCATGGATTGCTTCTTGCCTCTCGTGATAAAGAGATAGTTTGAAACGTTTGAAAAACATGCTGGACTTAGAGATTAGAATAGTAGACTTAGGAACCACCAGCCAACTTCCATCCTCTCGTCCATCTCTATCGAGAATCGTCCATCGCAAACAGTTTGTCGTCTCTTTAGATTTGGCGAAGGTTTCTTGACCGTTCCTCCATCATTCCTGCACGAGCGAGAACCATTCTTGCACAAGCATGGTCAATGCAATCTACATGGAAGATAAGGCTGCGCTCATGTGCTAAGTAATGATTATATCTAGCAACTAAGTCTGATAAGAGCGAGCAGGTGTCTTTCCGACCCAATTCTTTGGTGTGGATCGCCGGAGGCCGAGGCGTTGAATTGTTTCGTGCATCTTCTCTCGCGGTAGCACTTCTCCATTTCTCCTCTTTCTGTAAGCTTTGCCATTCGAAGAAACATCATCAAAATGGTGGCCTCCATCCAGCAATCCTCCCGGCCTGTACTCATCGCTATTAGAATCAAGGGCCATGCCACCCTCTCCAACCACGATGTTCATCTCATCACTCGCAAGGCGCTCCGCCACCTCTTCCGTGCACTCTTCCGAAGGAGAACCTACTGACGAATTTGTTGCAAGCCTCGCCAATCGTTCATTTATGCAGAAATTGTGGAGTCGGCAAAGACAGCGCACCATGGCAGTTACTTTGCCGATGGTTACCGACGTTGGGAAGGCACGCATCAAGATTCCCCAGCGTCGAACAAGCATGCCGAATGCACACTCGATGGTAATGCGCACATTCGAATGGAAGTAGTTGTATGAGTCTCTTGTACCAGATCCAACTGCCTTGTACGGAGTTGCCATTGTTGGGGTATTGACATATGCATTATCTCCAAACAGACAAAGCCCCTCTTTCATGAAACCCTCTCTCTCGATGTCATGGTAGAGTGGAGATGAGGTCCAAGCGAGATAGTCAGACGTAGAACCTGGGTGCTTCACATAGATGTCGAGGAATCTACGGTAAGCATCACATGTGCCCTGCATGTTCAATCCAAACTTCTTCTTTCGACCGCAGAAGAATTTCTTTGGACCACACTCTGCACTCTCACAACTTTCTTCGCTCGGCCTTTCTGTCCAAATCAGGATTCCATCCACAGCTCCACCACAACAGTCAAACACACCGCGACTGGTTTTCTTAAATCCATCTGCAATCAACTGCTGTTCTGCATGATCGGTTGGGTAGGAGAAGTCCAAGTCGGGGCACTTGTTAACAGCATCCACCACCTTCCAGATGCTGCGGTACACATCAGTATGGCCGATTCCATGAACAACAGCAATGTCATACGCGGCTCCACCAGCGAAGTACCGAATGGCCGAACTCACTTTGCTTGGCAATGGGATTAGGCCGTTCTTGGCACCGCTATTCCACGACTTCCTTTTCCTGGAAGGTTCAAGGAATGGCTTCAACAAACGTACAAGCTTCCAGAAGGAAGCTGGTTCCATCCGGTAAGCACGCCTGACATAATGAGGTCCCAGTTGGTTGAAGATGTCATTGACGAATTGCCTCTTTCTTTTTTGGTGAGGCCTTCCTCCTCCTCGACTGTCGCGTATGGGTTCGAACAGACCAGGATCAGCGGCAGAGAGAAGGGCAACAGAGGCCTGTGCAAAATTCGAGAACTCATCGAGTGGGTGATCCCTGACCGAGGACACAAAAGGTAACAGCAGTGACAACAGCAAGATCAAGCAACAAAGGAACATTGTCTCACTTTTGTCTACTTGGTTACGGAATTCTATGGCAGACAACCATGACAACAATCAACCTGGCATGCCCCGTTGGCATTGGATTTCGCATTGGGTATCATTGGTTTTCCAGTGCCACGTGGCCCTTGGTGGGAGTCACATTTTCCGATTTGGCAACTGACTAGTTGAAAGTGACCTGGAGTGATCTCGATTAGGGCCTCATGGAAATGGCCTCCGGATGACCGAATCGACAATTCTCAAAAAGTAGTTGAAACTGAGCCTAAAAGAAGCCGATCATTTGATTCGATTCATCGGTGAGGTTTCCTCACGACTTAATGATTGGGGGTTTCAAAGGGGCTAGTTAAAACATTTTTTGGCAAGGCTCTACTATAGAAAAATCAGTGGCAGGACCAATTTTTCAATCAGGTATACGGAGGCTTTTGAGCAGGTTGGTACAACAATGGTAAAGCACCCTCTTAGGGATGTTTACATTGATCAAGGTAGATCGGACAAATACAGATCCTCCAGTTGTGAAAAAGCTACCAGAAGAAAATAAGATGGGATGATCTTCACCCGGTATTCATCTTTTCAAAAGAAAGGGGGATACTGAGTACAGTACATGCAGAACGTAGAATAGAGTGCAGCAGAAGAAGGAGTTCCCTCCCACAAAGAAACACCAACGAAGTGACAATCACATGATAAATGCTTTCTGAGGTTTGTGCTCTTTTGTTGTTGCTGCGGGCTGCGCTGCTTCAGCTGCTCTATTGTTGGTTGTTGTTGGTTGTTGTTGCTATCCACACAGGGACTACAAGATGCAACCTGGGAGAGGCTTGGGCATCCCATCTACTACTGGATCCAAGACCAGTCAACGACTTGCCCATTAGTTCTCACCTGAGTTGCACCCTGAACCAGTACTCTTGTAATATACAATCGGCAGCTGAATAAAGCACCATGTGGTGGTAGCATTCCCATTGTTGGAGACAATCTTTGGCTGATTACACAAAGAGTATTTTGACTGAGTGTGGAGTAAATAAGGCGCTCCAGGAGATACGCAGTGTAGTCACTATTGCAGGAGTCAGGCGTTGGATCCTTCTGAGGTCAGGCAGAGTATGCCATTCGTGTGGTATCTGTGCAACACAGGACAAGTTTCAAGGCCGAACCGTGGATCGCACCTCCATTACTGGTACTACGAGTACAGTAGTATCAAGCCTGAGTCAATTGAAGCATCGCCAGTTCAGAGGTGAAAGCTATTCTCATTGGAATCCTACCAAATTCGGAAGGTTTTCTTTTCTGGGCCATTGGCAGTCAAGTTGGAGAACAATGGTAAGCCATGGTTGACAGCAGCAGCAGAAAAGAAGAGAATTCCATATCTATTTCTTACTTTCTATTCTCTTCCTGGTACGGCCGGTGAATTATCTTTGTGTCGATTCCCTTGCAGTCGATCAATCGCTCCCAATGAAGAGGCTTGAATTGATCGGTGGCTGCTACTGTTGAAGCCTGCTTACGGTCAAGCAGATGAGATATTGTCGTCAAGTCGAGTTATTGAATGGCAACAGTCGTCAACCGGAGGAGGCTACACGACAACTCGCACACACAGAGGAGAGTGGATCCTCCTATTGAATTCATCCCCCCTTGTTATTTTCTAAAGAGTATGGTTGGTGATCCCTCTGTTGGTATCCATTTTCCTAAATTTACATACTGTTAGGTACCGGTATCACTCGTGAGTTGATTGCTTGTCATTGGTGTTCGAATCGAATCTAAGCCAACGAGAGTACCAGTATCCTTGCACCTCTACTATCAAGCCGAAACTATCCAAGCCAATCGATCCGACGGATAGCCTGATATCCAGTCTGGTAATCGTCGTCGAGTCCTTCAGCTCTAGCTCTAGCTCAAGATTGAAAGGCAGCAGTCAAATGAAGGAGGAGGCCAATTAATTGTGGCAACTTGCGCACAGGGGAGACTGGATCCTCCTATTGGATTCATCTCTCCTTGAGATTTCCTGGTGTTTGGTGGCGATTCCTGTGCCGGTAGTCTACCCATTTTTTGTACCGCACAAGTCCTCAAGCGACTTGGTCTATCGTATAGTAAGATAAAATTGACTCATGGGTATCCATTCCAACATGCCATCATAAATCAGAGTCTTTAAAAGCACAGGTTGCCAAAAAGTTTCTGGAATGCCCATTGTTGCCTACATACGGAGGCAGAGGGGCACACTAAGCATGTAGAGGCAGAGGGGCACACTAAGCATGTAGTGCTTGTCTTTATAGTGCAAGTAAACAGCTCTGAAAAGTAGAGAGTTTCGAGTGGATTGCTGAACACAATGACACCACCCGCCTGTTTACAGTACCAACCTGGATGGCGGATTTCAGATGAGGAAGATAAGATATCAACCCCTTGGTATGAAGTGGGCAGTTCGTAGTGGGTAGTGGTGCTTGCTGGCCCAGTAGCTAGCTAGTAGCTAGCTAGCTGGATTTGACATTTGTATGGAGGCATGAAACTGTCTATTTGGCATCAAACTGGTTTCCTTTCCCAGTGCACTACTGTAATTGGGCTGCTACCTGGTACTATGACTATGCATGACTGAGTGGTGGCTGAGAAGCCTTGGAGCCTCACGCACTTTCCGCACCATTCACAACAAGACCCACGACCGTCCGTACCGGTACGGGAACTAGTACCGGGTACATCGTACTAATGTACCTGTTGGTACACGTCCAACAATGGCAAGACAATGTCTGCAATGGAGCAATGGAAGGCTATAGTACCAGATAATGGGTAACCGAGGCATCAATGCAGCTTCGGGAGGTGGCTATGTGGGGCAGGAAGCAAGCTCTCGGCAGCTGCGCGATTCATTACACACGAAGCATCATTGAAGCCTGTGCCCCCGCCGAGAACAGGAACTTCGACGAACTGAAGAACTCGGCATGCCCCTTTGCCTCCTTCTATTAGTCTAGCTAGATGATATTTTATTCTGTTAACTTGCACCATGTTCAATTGCTCAGTAACTGGGTAAGGTGTCCTGCTCATGCGAACGGCCCTTGTCTTGTCTTGTCTTGTCTTGATCCTTGCCAATTCTCGCTGGTGCACGTGGTGGAACGGCCGTTGGCGGACGAAAAACATTTCCTGCTTGATTGGAGGTGAGTGCACGCGTGGTGGACTGACTTGACCTGGGAAGTGTGGAGTTGACGAGGGATTGGCTTGTGAGACTGCTTCCATTGGGCCTGAACACACATGTACGAGTATGTCATACGACTGTAGAGTAGCATTGGCATGAACATTCCAGGTTTTCTGTGGGATCCTTCCAAGTTTCTCTGCGAAGATCGCCATTTCTGGGTGATGCTCTCTTTGACATTTTTCTAGCTGGCTAGACAGCGGAGCGAGGACAAGGCGAAGCTAGGCAGCTCCGTACCATGGAGGAAGCCAACTTCACCACACTACCACTCTATGTTTCGAAAGATGATAAGGAGGAGGTACAGGCCGCTATCAAGAGTCACCTTGAGGAATCAGATTGTCTCAAGTACCAATGTTGCTCCAATAGATGGTGCATGTTCTCGTCAGTCAAGAAGCCTCCGTTTCACAGCAAATTCGGTAACACGTTCGTCGAAGCGGTCTGCTCCTTCCATCAAATGAGTAAATGCCAGCAATTGAGCCTTCTGAGTATCTGGTGCGAAGATGGAGCACGTTACACGCTGAAAGAATACTCGGTGGATGGAGAACCCATTGTGTTGTGCGAGGACGGACTATGGCGCATTTTCGGTTTATGCCGGAAGGAATATGTCGTCTCTGCACAAAGTACAGTAGCCCATGCTCGACAAGGTGCTTGTCCGGATAACTCCATGGGAAGAGTAGCCGTGCAGCCAGAAGCAGTACCTTCCGCTCTCACGACTGTCGGAGAAGACCTCGCAGAGGCTCAGGATGCCACACGGACCGAGAACGGAGTTGTGATTCGTATTGAGATGACTGATGATCGTACAAGGGAGAAAAGGTTAGTGAGACGTTCGAGCAACGAAAGCACCGAATCCTCCGTGGAAACAACCACAGGAGATGCCGAACCAAACAAGGAGCAGAGAGGAACCGCCGAAAAAGCCAACAAAATGCCTCCAAAAGGAATAGTTCTCCCGTACACAAGAGATGGACCCGATATCGAACAAAGTATTCCCATTTTGGTACGTTTGGAAGATCACTTGAATGGAGTTTGCAAGAGCGAGGAACAGCAGTTGCTTCAAGAGCATCACAGTAAGTTTAAGGTGTGCGTTCGGAAGATCACGCAGTGCCTGTTGTAAATGCGAGGACCAATCTACCTCTGGCTGGTATCCACCCACGTCTTTGTGCTTTCTTTTAGGGAAAATCGTTGAAACAAAGCTGACATACAACGAAAGCTGGAAAGAGGGAAGAATCCAACAGTGGAAAATTGACCCATTGAAGAGCGATGATTCGCTGTTCCTCTGCCTGCATCCATCTACGTTTGTGCGCGCGGACAAGCAGATATTGGCTGCAATTTACCAAGACTTTGACTTGAAGGGTGTTTTCAATCAAGCGGTGGAGAAATGGGACCTACGGGAGTTTTGCGGCAAGATTTCTTCATGTCTGTTGGCAAACCAACGGACGCCAAAGTTTTTCAAGTGCGCAATTTTCGTTGCTAGAGTCTTCCATGCTCTCAAGTTCTTTGAACGCGGTGAAGAGCCCTTGGATTCTGGTGTTTGGCACCTGATGCGCGGCGTGCTGTCTGCCACGGAAGAAGGATTGAAGAGCAGCAACAAGCGCAATGCACCCAAGAGCAGCGGCGACGACAAGCCACCGGCAAAGAAGGGACGATGTGAGACTACACTCAAGCCCACAAGCCGTAGCAACGGGCAGCGCAAGAAAAGCTCAAAGAGCAACGCACCGCAAGCCAGTCCACAAGTCGTCCAGGCGTCCATGACTCCCACCACCACCAACCAAACCCCCCAGCAAGGAATTGGTGCTGGTCGGTCTGGGACGGATGGCCCGCGAGAGGTCGCAACTGCGGCTGGGCCATCCCCAAGAGACCACGCCAACAGGAACGAGCCTGACAATGAAACTGGCGACACATACGAGAGGCTAATTCAATGCCTACAGGCAGGAATAGACGGACACGAAAAGGCAGCCGCCGAGTCGAAGCTCGCAGCAGATTCACTCCGCGATGCAATGGCAATTGTTGGAGAGCTCAAGAGAGGAGAAAACGACAAAGAAAAGCGAATCAAGGATCGCCTATCAGATAGCTTTCAAAAGGCACTACAGGACACGTTTAAAAAGATGGGCCGCTGAGTGACGTGGTTTATCGAAAGTTGCAGTAACCTCTTATGGGAGGTATTGACCAGGTTACTTTTGGCGCTCATCATGCAGCCCTGAACGTTTTGCAGTCATCGCTTGGAGCGTTTCTTGGACTTGGTTCCTGCTCTTGACTGCTCCTTCTTTTTCTTCGGTTTCAATTGGGGTGCATTGGCAAACAATAACACGTCCAGAAATGATTTTGGATCTTTGATGTCATTTATGCTCGTCAAATAAACAGCCAACGGTAGTTTTCTAAATTGTGCATTGTCGGATTCCAAAGGTACATTCCATTTTATGTCTTGTGGAGTATTAGTAGTTGCCTCCAAGTTTGCCAATAAAGCATTTTTCAAATCATTGACTTCTTGTGACACTGGATTCATGGAGACTTCGCCCACTCCGTACTTGGTGGGTTGCGAAGATGGGAACATGAATGGAAGGGTGTGATAATAGACATGCAGGGGTGTCGGGTCGTGAGAGTCTCTGATCCAGACAATCTTGGAAGCCGTCCTCGATACATACGCTGCAGCAGCGATATTGACTGCTAAAGCCACAGCCACCATTGTTTTCCCCCAAAGAGGGTGGATGTGAAGTTCGGTGATGGGAGAAGCGTTGACAGTAGGTACAAAATCAAGAGCGTACCAACACCAGTAGATTGTGTGACAATAAGAAACTCCCAAACCAAACCGAGTTGACAGATTGGCTTGAGGATTTCGTTCGTACAAGACTATCGAATGATCCGTGTCACTGGTACTGTTGCCCTCCGATGCGGTTCCAAAGCTTCGCAACGCATCCGGCTTCTTCAAGTGGTGGATGTGTGACGATTGTTGCCATCGAAGGGCAGTTTGAGTCAGTAGTCTCACAGCTCTTGGACTTCGAACAATGATTCCTGCTCTGGTAAACATCTTTCTGGTGGCCTCTGTGGTAGGTGGTAGAGGAAGATAGCACTTTGGTATGTGTCGATCAGAAGGTTTTGGTCGGTTTGCCCTCTGGTCGTTGCTCATGGCAGCATTTGAAAAGCCGGCAGCGCTGCCAGAAAAATTCTTCCAGGGTGCCAAAGAAGACAAAAGGTCAGGACCCACAGTACAACCAGAATAGCTACGAGAATACACCCAATAAGAGAAGGAGGGAGGGACGACAAGGTCAGCTCAGAGCGAAAAACAGTACATGTAACCAGACCAATGGTACAGTAGCTACCTATTTTTAGATTCGACTTTGCAAAAAGGAGACTGCAACATTCTGATTATGTTCAATTTTTGATTGTCGCCACGAACGTAACCACCCACAGGATACTTAGCAGAAGCATCCCGTGAGGATGATAGCATTAGTAGTTCATTCTCAGGCCACAAAAGATTCTTTCCGCCAGATTGGCGTCTTTAGTTGCTGCAGCTGACGCGCAATTGTGCCCTCAGTTGTTGCCTTTTTCCTGTCCTCCAGCCAATGTGTTGACTGTGAGCATCAGTGATGCCAATACCGGTATAGCATTCTATAACACCATCATGAAGACAAGCATTGCTGTTGTGTAGATTGTGTTTTTTGTTGAGCCTCTATTCTATACAGTACAGTAATATTCTATGGACCTTCCTGTATACGTTCTCTTACATCATCATTCTTATTGTCGTCTTGATTCAATCTCTTGGATATAGTCTTGGAGAGTGTTTTTGGCATGAATGCACCCACCACTCCAGCGGCACTGGCACGGTACAAGTCTTTATCCTGGAAAAAGAGAGAAAGAAATCAAATTGAGATCAGTATATGTACCATGTCAGTCAAACAATCTCCATGGATTTCAAAACAAAAGAATGTATGCAACGACTTACTTTGAGAGTATCTTTCAACACTTTTCGAACCATGGACACAAATTTTTCATCCTGCAGTGCCGTTGACACGGAGTCTGTCGCAATCTCCATGAGTGCTTTTTTCAATCCTTCATCTTTGGATGCTTCCAGCATGGCTTCGACCAGTGACGAAACGGTTTGCGTCATGAATTCTTTGTCGCGTAGAGTTTCCAATAAACTCTGTTTGGATACACTCTTGAGAGCCGTCAAGAGTTGCTCATCCTGTGCTGATTTGACAATGGCATTATTGATTGTGTCCAGCATGGCCCCTTCCAGTTCTTGGTCATTCATGGATTCTACAATCGCCCCCTTGAGTGTAGCCCTCAGTGGTTCCGATCCAATGGCGCGCTTCAGAGCATCGGTGGACGCCGTTAGTAATCGATCAAAGCGATCGGGATCTCGTGCCAGATCTTCCCAGGATTTGGTGGCGGCTTCGGTAATGTGTTGGGATATCGGTCGTGTCATGAGTTCCAGGAGGGGTCGTCGGAATACAAAGCCAAGCGCCATGAGTCCAAAAAAGACAGCTCCGGTCTTGGAAGGATCCAGCCAACAAATGGCGGCTGCCACTGCCAGAGACGCAGGAATGGAAGCTTCCAGTTGTGATGGTGAGATCAACTTGGTTAGCTCATCTAGAAAGTCCATCATCTCCATTATTCTCCATTGTGGTTGGTGTCTCTTTTCTCAAGAAACTGGATTTTGCTTCTGGACCAAAAGAGGAAAGATCGAAGCGGCACTCAAAGCGTATGCACGTCTAACTCAGCGAAACACTCGACCATCGCAAATAGCCGTCACGCCGTCACCATGACACATCCTGATCCTGAGCGCTACCGCTTACCACTTTACCACTGCGGGACGAAGCTTTGTGCATTGTTGATGGTTGATCAAGACCTTCAAGAGTGGTCTCATTTGAAAAACTAGCCAAAGGTTGTTCTAGAGCCACGCGGCCTCTTTGGTACAGCCAGTCTGTGGAAGCAGCAAGACGACCGGTGACGCGATCTTTTTCTTATTGCCACCAATAAGCGCTATTACTACATCATGCCATTACCCGAGTCTTCCTTGATCATTGCGCCTACAGCAGGAGGCAGTAAGAAGCGGCGTCGGCCCAATTTTCGACCAGGAGCGCGGAAAGCTGGTGCCAAGAAAAAGAAAACGACCGACACTTCATCCTCGTCATCAGCTCCTAAAAAAAAAGAGTCAGACAAACAACAACCGCAAGAGCAAGCTCCAGCCAAATCCAGTGCTGCCGCCGACAAAGTTGATCCCACTTCAAAACCAACCGAAGCATCCACGGAAAACGAAAATTCCCAGACAAAGCCAAAGGCAAAGACAGTATCTACGGCAACCTCTAAAGAACAAAAACCCGCCAAATCGTCGTCAGTTAATCCCTTGGCATCATCACTGCGACCATCCCGCAGAGGGGCAGCATCATCATCCATCAAGCCAGCTGCTCCTACCACCACCAAGAAAAAGGCGCCGCCGGTTGCCAGCAAAAAATCCACAAGTAGTAATAGTGATGCCAAGAACAACAACGCAAAGAAGAAAAAGACGGCACCCGCAAAACGGAAACGAAAAGTTACAGGGTTGGTCGTGGGAGCCTCTCTTTTGACCGACAAGAAGGCTAACAATAAAAAGACAGATCAAGATGACAATAAGGAAGCAGCAGACGAGCACGAGACACAACAACAACCTGCAGAAAAGGAAGTAGCTCCTGCAGCTGCAGCGGCAACCGCTGTGGCCCTACCGGCTTTAGCACCCGAAACAGACCTACCCATTCCTCCCCCCAAAGAAGGAGAACGGTCATTGGCACAATACTGCAGCAAATTTCGTTGCAAGCCACACCAGAAAGATGAGAATTTGGAAATCAACAAACTCAAAAAGGACAAGAAAGCCAAACATCAGCAACAGCAGCAACAACAACAAACAGATAAAAAGAAAAAGAATGAGGAACCCGCCGGGCCCGTCGTCCAAATTGTCAATGGAGAAATCATTTTACAAGAATCCAGCATGGTCGTGGAACGCGGTGGTGGTGCCGACTTTAATCGAGTCGGAACGGCGGCGGATGAATTGGAAGAATACGCCGTGGTCGAAGAAGACAATGAAATGGCCATTGTGGGAGCTAGTTACAATTCTTTTACCAAGCGAGAGCCTCGAGGTCCCCAACGATGGTCGGAAGAGGATACCAAACTCTTTTACGAAGCCCTACGACAGGTCGGAACCGATTTTATGCTCATGTCGGAATTCTATCCCAATCGCACCCGGAAACAATTGAAACGCAAATATCAACGCGAGTTGATTGCCAATACCAAGTTGATTGATGCCGCATTGGCACAACAGAAACCATTGGATTTGACCGTCTTTCAAGTCACACAGGATGATGTACAGAATCAAAAGGAGGAAATTAAGAAACGAGAAGAACTGGCAGCTATCAAGGCAAAGGAAGCGGCAGAAAAGGGGGAAACGGAGGATAAAGATCCATCCAAGACGAACAGCGACAAGGAAAACAACGATGTGGAAGTGGTGGTGGAAGACGACGACGAGGAACAGCAGGGCAACGACAACAATAAACAATCCACAGAGGCAACCGTGTCTTCCGATCACGAAGCAGAAGCAGAACAACCGGAGGAACCAGCAGAACCGTTGTGGCCAGACGAGGACGACAATATGGAAGAAGCCAACAACGAGGAAGGTATTGTGGAAGAGGATCCGATGTTTATGGACGACTTTCACCATCTGGGCGGCTACGATGACAACAACAATGACGACAAGAAGGACGTGAGTGAAGTTGCCACTGGTGAAGAGACTCAAAATAACGAAGAGATTGCATCATCTGAACAAGACGCTGATACCAACAACGTCAAAAAGACAAGCACCAAGGCACCGGTACCTGAGCCCGACAAGAATGAAGAGCCTGCAATTTCTCTCATTCCTACGGCCAACAAGAAAAAGGTAGGCGCCAAAAAGCCCAAATTCCGCACCGCGCGTCGCAAGAAAAAGTAGGTTGGAACCAAATATGCTTAGGGTCAGGTCACTCGTATGCATTTAGCTACGGTAGCTAGTTACAGCTGTCTGATATCTAGCTAGCTAGATAAACCGGATTTCTAGATCGACCAAGCCAAGACGTACGGTAGCTAGTACGAGTAGGAGCTCCATCCAGATTCCCAAGAAAAGGCCCTGGCAGTCTTTGACCATAGTACCGATACCATACTGGCTAGCAAGCGGTGCTAGCAAGCGGTGCTAGCCAGAGGTCAACGAAGGGCTGGAGAGAGAGCTTGGGTTGCTTTACAGTTAGATCTAATTGGGTACTGTACAGTAACATGTGGCCGCGATCAATACAAAAGATCTCGCTCTTATCAATTGCTGAGGCGCCACGCGCCCAACCAAAGAACTTCTGGTCAATCTTCAAGACCAAACACAGATTGAAGCTCCGGTTGCTGGTGGTTGGGGGAAGCTAGACTGATAAACTGTGTCTGAACAACAAATAGTCCTCTCTGCTCTGGATGCTACATTACTGTACAGAACCATACCGGTACAGGCATGGCACAAAAGTTGAATGGAGCTGCTGGAGCAGCTCCAACAAGTACCGGTGCCAGTATGCATACTCTACGGCCGGGTAGTTTACTGGAAGTCCTTGAGCTCGTCAAGCAGCCCCAGTACAATTTTTTGTAGCTCCAAAGGTAGTAATTAGCTTTGCTAGTTGAGTGGCTGCACTCCACCGGATCTAGCTATTAAAATAGTGCGGGTTGTTCGTTGCTTGCTAGCTACCGGTCTACCGCACGGTATTACCAGTATTACCGGTAACTAGCTACCGGTACCAGTACATGTAGCAACGGTTGTGTCCAGAAGCTTTTTGTGGCCTGTTGCCATCCAAAGGTTTTCCCTCAACTCCCAAAACAAAGAACAACGATCAGGACAAGTTATACTTATTGCATACGTAGAATCAGTAGTAAGTTCTACACGCATGTGACCGGCACAGAAAGCTCTCTCGAAATCCAAAAGCTTCCCGCTTCTCTCTCAAATCTCCTCCCATTTTTCCTTCATAATTTTCTCTTATCATTTTCCTTCGAAAGCTGACAACCCATGAGCACTGTATCTCGAAGCGCTGGTGAGTAGCTATCTTAGAGAGGGCTTGTGTTCTTCGCTTGTTGTTTTCGCCTGTTGGTCAAGGGAAATTGCTGGTGGACAGCAGCATTGACAGCATTTATTTCGGCTTTTGAGACCAAATTCCATGCCAACAGTGCGGCCGTTGGGTGTGTGACTGTGGCGCTATGTGACATTTCTTTTCTCACACTGTTGCTTTTGATTCCTCTCATGGGATCCCTGCGTTCCACAGAAGTCGTCGCGACCAACAGCAAGGCAGAGCGACGCAAGCAGTTGCTGTCGCAGCTAGCGGCCATCAAACAACAGAAACAACAACAACCCAAGTGCAGTGGTTTGCTTCCTGGATCATTTGCCTTGTTCAAACTCAGAGCAGCGTCTCAGAGCTCTGTGGCTCCCGTCGGCATTGTTGGAGAGACGGACCAAGCGGATGCCATTTCTCTACCCGAAAAGCGACACACCGACGGCAGTTTGCCGTACAAAAAACGAACTTTCGACTCGACGGGACCAAAAACAGCCAACGCCCAGCAGGAGGCAAAGCCAAAGAAAAACAAACTGACGGCAGAGAAGCCCCTCCCAAATTTGAAAATTATGAAGAGCATCCTAAACCTAAAAGGTGGAAAGAAGCCGGTCATGAAGCCCGTCAAGGAAAAGCAAGCCAAGAGCATCACGACAAGCACCAACCCTCCAATCGGCGCTTCCAAGGGTTCTCCCGCCTTTTCTCTGGAAGCTACCGGTGCTTCCTCCTCTTCTGTGACTCTGAAAGCAAAGAGTTCTCCATCGCCTCCGCCCTCGAGTTCCAAAAGTGCAAAGACGCAATCCACCGCTGTTGGAAAGGCTCAATCCACCGCTGCCACTGTTGGATGGGTGCATCCCGCAAAAACTGCTCCAGCGCCCTCCTCCTCTACTGAGAAAAGCGTCGTGTCTCTTTCTTCCAACAGCGCCGCCACATCCACATCCAACGTGTCCTCGGACTCTGGCGACTCTGCTAGTGTCGTCATTTCTACAAACTCGAAAACAGCGGGTTCCCCGACAAACGACAACCAGCAACGTCGAATCAAGACGAAGGGGAACAAGAATGGCGAAGGACGTATCCGTTCCAAAGCGTCTCCTGCTTCTTCTAGTGGTTCCGTGTCCACGACAACAACAACCTCTTCTTCGAGTACTCGGAGCAAGGGCGGTTTGCCCAGTCCCTATGATGTAAGAGCCAATTGGGTCCGGTCGTTTCGATAGAGCTGGCTGATGAAATGGCGAGGAGCGACTTGACTCACTCGTTTGTTTTTGTTCTTGAATGTATGTCTAGGTCAAGCATAACGTCGAGTCGAGCTTTGCGCTGTTCAACGACCTGGCAGAAAAGGTTTTCGACCCAAGTTCGCCCATTCGTTTGCTCGCAAACACAATTGCCAGCTCATCCCTGCTCTGGCGCGACATTTGGCTGACTGGAGAAGTCCAGGGGTTGGACTTTGGAAAGAACATTGAGCAGCAGGTAGGAGAGGAAACAGGTTCCGTTCATGCTGGCTTTGCATGGTTCTGCAATGCTCCAGATATTTATTCCTCACCAAGCACGTTCTTCCACACTCCTCAAATAAAACAGTCCTTTGTCTTGTGCCTCAATGTGCGGCTGATAGCCAAAGCTGAGGCAGTTCTGCTCTCCAAATTGGTCAAAGACCTCTCCGTAGAAACAATGGTCAAGGAATTCCTCTCTTCGCTTTCTCCGGGTGCCTCGGAGCAATACCCCAAAACCAAAAAGGGCAGGCTTGATCCTCAGAATCGGAATCAGTCCAAGTGCCTTTTGTTTCTGGCCAGGCTTCACTGCGCGCTGCTCTTTCTCGGGAAATCTGTGGATGAGGTGGACAAAAATTTGCTCTCTGTCGTTCAGAAATGTCTTGCGATCGTGGAGGAATTTGCCTCTTTGACTCCCAAAAAGAAGAGAGGAAGAAAGCTGAAGGATACCGAAGAGCAGCTTGTTGTCGGCGGCACGTTGGAAGGGGAAGGAGAAACTGATGCGACAACAGTGGCGCCAACGCCAGACAACACCCCTCGCCGAAACGTCCGTCGTGTATCTGTTCAGAGTGAGGGTGAGGGCGAGGGCTTGGCTTTGGATGCCAGCGCCAGCACTGGTCCTGAACTCCTCAGAGAGGAGGCTTTCCCCAAGAAGCGTCGTGTATCTATTCAGAGTGAGGGCGAGGGATTGGCTTTGGAGTTCAGCGCCAGTAGTGCCACTGCACTCGATAAAGAGGAGGCTTCCCCCAAGAAGCGTAAGGCGCGGAAGCGAGCAATCCTTGAGGACTCAGATTCGGAAGATAGCGTTGGCTTCAACCCACCACCCAAGAAGAAGCGTCGTCGCGTTTCCGTGGATTCTTTTCCTGCCCTCGAGGAGTTGGTTGCCGCCAACATGTCGGTGGATGAAGAAATTAAAAACGCGGTTGAGCTTCAGACGTACTTTCAGGCTGCACTGAAGATCTTGCAAAGACGCCAGCAGGCCCTAGCTTTGTTGCAGAACAACTACTAGAGAGGCAAGAATGCACACAAAGGAAGACAAAGGAAGGAAGTGGGCTTGAAAAAGAGAACACGGGAAAAACTCTGGCATGGGCCCAATCAACAAAGATGAAGCCAGCAAAGGGGATTTGCACAAGTATACATGTAGTGAATTGTTTAGCGTTTGAAATTTGCAGTGAATGGTTTAACGTAGGAGCATCACGAGGCAACAGAGGGCAATGCTCAAAGGTTTTTCAGACCTGTGAGAGCTACAACCCAGGCATGTTGGCAAGGGATAGTGGCTGGATTCAACGGTGGTAGGTCAAGCTCCATTCCAGGTTTCTGTGTCTTCGTCTTCGTTTTGCCTTGAAGTTCTCGGGCGGTGCTTGAAGCCGCGTTACCACTGTCAACCTTCTCTGTCGCCGCCGACCATGCTACTTCCTTAGTCACGCCCAGCATCCGAGCTTGAGTGTGGTTGGTAGTCTCTGGACAGGCCAAACGTAGCTTATCATCTTCTGGCCACGACCTTATCATCGCGAAGAGAGTTTTGTCTCCTGTCTTTGCATCCACTGTTGTCGTGTAAAATACATCTGTGGAGGCCGTTTCGTTTTGGCATACGTTCCAAGGTTTCGATTTGTAGATTGCCTCGCCATTCACCTCAAGCCAATCTCCCATCCCCACTAATCGGTCGACAAAGATGGGTGGCATTGTTCCATCCGCTCGAGGGCCTACATTCAAGAGCAAATTACCATTGAAAGCTACAGTCTCAATCAATAAGTGTATCAAGTCCGCTGTCGTCTCATAGGCATCGTAGCCTGCCATTCGGTTGTAACCCCATGAACCTGACGCAACAAGAACAGCAAAGTGCAGAAATGATTTAAAAGATGCATAATAGGGGTCGAAGCAGATCGCAAGCTGAATCGAATCGTCAACATTGCAAACGCATCTGATTCTTACCTCTGTCTATTGTGTAACAGTTCTCAAACTTGAACTCTGTCAAATTTGAGGGCCTGAACTTGTCATGGCAAGTTCGGAAGGAGCCGTGCTTGCACTGCGAGAAACATCAAAGGGAATTGTGTCAGAAGAGCCGTACGAATTGTTCAGACCAGCCAGCATCAACCAAAACCAACCGGACGTACCATGGCATCTCTCCCCCACCGATCGTTCCAAACAGCTGTTTGGTTCACGGTAGAGTTGGTGGCATACCACGCTAGAAACTCTGTGACATTCCAATAGTCCGAATGGCCTCCTCCGTAGCCATCGGACCAGATGATTTCTGGTTCGTACTTTTTGACCAGATCGTACATTTCAGGAATGGACTACAGTGACGATCCAGCAATGCATGAATGTGTCAAAAACAAACCAAATGTGAGAATCATTCGTCAAACTCATCAAGAGGTGCAATGGTAGGCAAGTACAAACCTTGTGCTTTGCAAAGTTTTGGGTGGTAAAGTTGTTTTTCATGTCTTCGATATACAATGGATTGAACCATTCAAACAAGGAATGATAGAGTCCAAAATGCAGCTTTTGGTTGGTGTGCGAACTGGTCGTGTTCTTGACTGCCTTGGCCAGATCTCCGACAAGATCTCGTCGTGGTCCCTATTTAACAAAAACATAAAAGTGTCCGACACCAAAAGAGTATGAGGACTCAATAAAAAGCTCCTCCAACAGACGAGAGAACAATCCGATGCAAGGGAGCAGCACCAAAACTAACTAATCAACACTTTTTACTTACCACATCCATGGCATTCCAATTCCATGTATGATGCAGATTGCGAGAATCCCAATTGCAGAATCCTTCATGATGTTTGCTGGTGAGTACCACGTACTGTGCCCCTGCGCGTTTGAAGATTTTGGCCCATTCGTCAGGGTTCCAGAGCTGTGCCGTGAAGCGATGGGCATAATCCTGATAGGCAAAGTTTTTGACTTCACTTTCTTCCACAAACTTTTGAAAGCTGGGCTTGACAGGTCCATCGTATCCGCCCTTCCAAACCCACCAGAACCTTTACCAAAAAATTGATGCATTACCCAATATGTAATGGAAGGGCGAATTAGCGGGACATGAATGAAGACGAGAAAGATTAGCGAGACAGAAAAAGAGGACGTTGTAAGAAGAGCAGTATCATTGATCATTGCTTGCTTGGATGAATGAATGTACAAGTAGTACGCACCATTCTGTATCAAAAGCCGGGACCGAGAAGACTCCCCAGTGAATAAAGATACCAAACTTGGCTTCATCATACCAAGCGGGAAGTGGCCTAGAATCCAGAGATTCCCAAGTGGGATCCCATGCTGCCGTTCGCCATGGCGCCTTGCAAGCCAACAACAGAGCTGATATCAACAATGATCGAATCACCATGGTGTCGATCGTCGTCCTTTGTTCCTCTCTCTGTTTCGTTCTCTTCTGGTGCTTTATTGGGATCTGCCTTCGAGGGAAGCTGATGTTGTTCTGTGATGCAACGAAAGTGTGTCACTTGGGCGAAGAGGAAAGATCCAAAGATTAAGCCTGTAGATCTGAGATCTGGCTTCCAAACAATATTTTTATTTTATCGCTTCCTCAGTCTCCCCGAACCCTCCGTTCGTTCGGACACTCTCATCTCATCCACAACCCGCCTTCAATCCAGTCAAATCGTCAAATCTCGTCGACCCTCCCTTCTACAACTGGCTTTGTTTGAGACAACAATGGCAACATCAGCAAGCGACCCCAACAATCCAGGCAACACTCTGGCATCGGCCGTGGACGCAGAAATCGCCAAGTTTCGTGAACTCCAAGAGCAGCTCCATGGGATACGAGGCGACCTTCAAGTGGTCATGGGTCAACAAACGGAGAACGAAATGGTGCAGACGGAATTGAATTTGCTCAAGGACGACGTTGTCTACAAGCGCGTGGGACCCGTTCTAGTGCGTCAAGAATTGGACGATGCCAAGGAGACTGTATCCAAGCGATTGGAATTTATTTCCAAGGAGCAAGACAAACTCAAGGCCAAAATGAGCGCCATGGAAAAACAGCTCGATGAAAAGGGACGAAAGATTGCCGGCATGCAGACCGATATGCAGCGTATGACGGCTCAAGCCGTGCAAGCGATTCAGCAGCAACATACTCAACAAAAGGCGAGCTAGTTAGCTAGTGAGATGATAAGAAGAAGAAGATCCTGTATTTGTGTGGTTGATATCCAGTGTTTTTGGTCAGTTACTCCGCAATGTTTTAAATTCTGATTGAACTGGGAAATGGATGAAAAATTTACTAGAAAGAGCCCTCAAAATCAGCGCAATTTCAGGCTGAGATATCAAATCACAACAACATACTAGAAATACAGAAGATCTACCTAGAGAAGCATGGAGAGATTTCGTTTTTGGACTCGACTGCTGGCTATAATCATGGAATAGGATGCTGAAAAAATAGTCTCGTACCGGTACAGGAAACCTCGCTTTTTAGTCCTCAGGCCGAGGTTCCACAGGAAACATTTCATCGTGGAGGCGTATCTTGCCCTTGGCAACCTCAATAATCTTCAGCTTCTTCAAAAAAGTCAGCGCATTGGCAGAGGTCGAGTTGGATTTCTCATACACCTCCATGATGACCTGCTTCTTGTCATGAGTCTTGCCGTCCTGCAACAATTCAACCAGTTCAGTCTGCTTTGGATTCAACTTGTTCTTTTCCTTGACCTTTTCCCAGTGATCCGCGTTTGTCTTGGGGATTGCGGCAGCAGCTGCTGCGAGGGCGTCTTGGTCGGCATTCTCCATGCCGAGCTTGGTAATGGTCACTTCTTTCCCACTGACCGTCATCCACCCCAAACTCTTGAGCTTGGTCAGGGCATTGGCAATGGTCGACTTGCCATCAATATTCGTAAGAAACGACAAGCGGGCACGTTCCACCGTATCTTCGCCCTTGGTCACGTTGATGGCTGCCACCGTGTTGAGGATCGTCATGTGAGCTCCACCACCCTTGCCACTTCTGGCCTTGTGCTTGGTTGTGGTGGTCTTCTTCTTGACGGTACCGGGACTCTTCTTGGCGGTTTTGGTTGTTTTGGCCATGATGAAATGGAAATAAAGAAATGAAATGAAATGAAACGAAACGAGGCAGAACAGGGAAGGAACGAGGTGAGGTGTGTTTGCAACTTGCAAGTTTACGTTTTGTGAGACGAGAGAGGGAGGACACAACTGGGTCTTCGAGATTTGCTGTTTCTGATGTTTTCGCCTTGGTGTTTCCACGATACCCGCCGTCCGGAGACTTCCAAAACGGAGGAGTCGTGTTGCATCCTCGTCGGGACAGTCTGAGCTAATCGATGCTAAGACCGGGATACCGGTAATAATCCTGCCTTGGGTTGGATACATGTATGTTTCCACGTTTAAAAGAAGATTTGAAGGCGTGCAGGCTGACTGTAGACTTCTGTCTCACGCCATCTGGTGCGTGGTACGTGAGCGAAACGATTTGAAGCTTTTGACCAAAGAGGTTCGATGAAAAACGCAGCCCGTCGAAATCGGGGAAGGCAAACGGAAGTACACGGTAGAGTATGGGAAATAGGGGTAGATTCGATTGAGATTCATTTCGGGCTGTGTTCCAACTGACGGTACTTATTCTAGGTGGGCTCGGGTTGGTGTGGGTAGTCCTGGTTTGGGAGCTCGACGGTTCGTCCTAGATTGTGGGCAGGAATGGGCCTACAGTCGTACTGCAGCTAGAGATAGACTTACTCCATGTGTCGGCCCTGGTCTCACACCAAAGTAGGGCTGGGACTGGGGCCAGCGGTAGGAACTACGGCAGAGGGGCCTGCAAATGGACCTGGTTGACAGCTCGAGAGCCTGCCCAACATGCACTGTCAATGTGTGGCTATGGTATGCACCTTTATTGTTTATGTACATGGACAATCGAGTTTAAATTCTCACTGCAGCCGCAGGTGATACGATGCCACAGCTCGTCACGTGAGAATCGAAATCCAGTGGATTGCTTGTGTTCTATGATTGCTTGCTTGTTGGTTTACATGGTCTTTCCAAGACTGTAGTCAGAATTTCGTCCCTTGATGCCTTCCAAGAGATTCTCATAGTCGACTGTGGCTGTTCCTTCCCCTACTGGCTTGGCTCGAATATCAAAGGACCGATTCTTAAAGGCTCCTTTCCGGTATCGTACCGCATTGAGCATGACAGAAGCAACATCGTCACGAGGGATCGATCTCGATTCGGTCCCAGTTTGTTCGTCATCCACGCCCACAACGATTTCCCGTTCACCACCTGGTTCATTGACCAATCCACCGGGATGTACAATCGTGTAGCTGTAGTCGCCATTATTTTTGCACTTGTCCATGAGGTAGACTTCGGCCTTGCGTTTCCACAAGAGAATATTTCCACCCTTGTGACTTCCATCTTCCAACGTTTCTCTGCCAAATGCATTGAGACGATTGCTGGGATCGGTTCCACCCATGCTGCTACAGACGACAATGTGCGTTCCGGGAGGACACGCATCAATCTGATTTTGTTGACCGATCCAATCGACTTGTTCGGGAGCACCGTTGGGGAATCCAAAAATGGGTTTTCCATCCTCATCTTGTCCAATGGGTGCAGGCTTGGCGGATGTGGCAATGCAAAAAGCAGCGAGAGGTTCTTCGTCGGTACAAAAGGACTGAATGGCCTCTTGAATGGTGCTGCCAGAAGAAGAACCCGACACATCCACCACGGCCACATTGTCCTCGGGAACTCCCGACGACACCAAAGCTTCTTTGCTTTCTTGGGTACGGACAATTCCCAAAGGCATGAACTCATCGGGCAAATCTAACATTTTTCGAAACAGTGCTTGTCCTGTCTGTCCTCCCGCACCCGTCACGATTACTCGTTGGGGTACCGACAAGGCAGTACTGCAGAGAAGGGAGAGGGAGAGAAAGATCAGAGTTGGAATCATTATTGTCGTCGTGGACTTGTTTCCGTGTTGTAGTAATATTGTGAGGGTGGAGCGAGGTACATACCGGCGAGGCTCTCTTGGAGTCCATGCATTACAAGAGTGCATCACATCGACAATAAGATTGCATCATCAGCAGGATCCTTGTCATTGCTTTCGGAGAAAGCAAAACCAATGAAAGTCAAAGATTTATTTGCAAGAGACTGACGTGTTGTGGACTCGACTCGACAGTCAATCACGACTGGCGCCGATTTACTAACTATAACTAACCTTCACCCAAGTTGATATCTTTGGCGGCATCTTTTGTTCTTGGACCACAACCACTCATTATTTGCTCGTCTCATTTTTCTTCTTTGCACAGACCCCACCACTCTCATTTCGTATTGTCAATATAATAAGACAACACGAAAGAACAATACTAGCCAGCAGTAAAATAAGAAAGAAAGGAAGAACAGAATGTGGACCAACGGCGAGGATGTGGATGACAATAATGGAGACCCCGTACGGTTGTATCAGCCCATTCTGTATGCTTCGGGACGCAAGTTTTCGCAAGAAGACCCCACAGTCTCCTACATTGGTGGAACCAACAAGAACATGGAGTCAGGCTACTGTGCCATTTGCCACAATCCCTTGGAGCAACTGGTTCAACTGCATGTCCCTACCCGTCAGCAGAGCTACTCTGTATCAGGATGCAACCGAGCTTCTTGTGTCAATCAGCTTTTTTCGGCCGAGAAAAAGTTTTCGTGTGGAGGCGGAGGCGTTTTCTATTGTCAAAAATCAGATTCCACTTCTACCGGTAATTCAGATATCCCTTTGAATTCTTCGGCGGGTGCTGTGGATGAGTCTGATAAAACACAGCAGCAACCAACAACCACAAAGAAACAACCACAAGACAGCACCAATGAATGGGCAGTGGATAGTGACGAGGACAATGACGATGACCTAGAACAACAAGTGGCTGCCATGGAACTCAAGCAATCCAGCACTCTGCCAAAAACAACCAACAGCAAAAGCAGCAACCATAAAAAGAAAAAGAAACCAACGGCAGGTGATGAAGCATCATCATCAACTGCTTTGCCCTGTTTTGAGCTTCACTCTGTTTTGGAACCACCGTCCAAGAAACAGCACCGTCAAGGCGATGATGACGACGACGACGAGGATTTCATTGGCACGGCTACCAGTGGCAGCGATGCCAAAATCCAGCAAATGCTGGCCAAATACATGGCCGAAGAAGAGGATCCAGAAATTTTGGCGGCCCTTCAACAAGAAGGAGACCCGGGCGGCGGCACAGGAAGCAAGAGCCGCGAAAAGGACGAACGACTCAAAGCCGCCGATCGAGCCTTGTTGGCATTTACCGATCGCATCAAGCGGTCGCCACGACAGGTACTCCGGTATGCTCCCAATGGAATCCCCATGTGGTCCATGTAAGTGTCAAAAAAAAAATGGGCTGAAGGATGAAGCAGTGAGGTATTTTGTGAAAATGGATTCACCCATTTCATTTTGTTGGATCTGACCATTCCCCCATTTTCTCTTTTCTTCTCTCTTTTTCTTCTCT